TTTTTTATGAGTTCCTCTCATATCCAAAAACATTAATGTTTCACAAATTGGTGTCCTAAATTCACTTGTCAATGCAGCATCACGAGTTAAGCCCCACCTCCCCCTCTCCCCCTCCCCTCCTCCTACAACACCAAGTCCCAATTGTTCCGAGTGGAGGGAATAAAAAGCACAATTTGATTTATTAATAACTTCAAAGTGAAGCTTTTCCTTGTCCCAGAAGGATCTACCTAGCTGTTGAAGGCCTGGATACTAATCTTGCATGTTTTATGTGGAGGTTCAATTGTGCTGTTGTGGAAGATAACTGCCGTGCATGACTCGCTTTGTCGTGTTTGTGTGTCTGTTTGCTTTTATATAATAATAATAATGATGGCTGCTCCTCCTCTCTCTCTCTCTCTGCCTGTCTTGTCCTCGTTTCACCGGCTGCATCGCAAACAACAATTTTTATTATTATTTTTTTTTTTAACGATCCAAACCCAGGCCGATTCTCTGCTTGTCGTCCTCGTTTAAGGCATTGACATGAGCATGTTAAACCAGAGGGGCGTGCAAGTGCTGCGAGAATGCTTTGTCTTCTACTGAATGCAAATTCATGTGATACACCGTTATCCCGCTACTGTTACACTGATGAGTGTGTGTGAGGAACACAGTAGATGTGTGTGTGATATGATCCTGTTTTCCATTCTCTAATTGCTTCCTTTTGTTACCTGACTAGCAGGGAAAAGGGGTCGAGGCTGGTCCTGATGCGTCGCTATGAAGACTGACCCCCCCCTCCCCTTCCCTCCCCCCAGCGTATGGCGGTACACGCTGCAGGCTGCCAGTGGATGGAAATGGTAAGGTCAACTTGACTCAGTGGTCTAATGGCAATCCAACCTTTCTGGGTGTTTTTGTTTTTTTTTGTTTTTTAAAGAAGCTGCCACGCTCTGAGATAATCAGAAGAGCAAAAAGCGAGTAGACTTTAAGTTTTATAAGCCCCCCCCCCCCCCCCCCCCAAACCCCAAATATGCCATTTGAGACGAACTGAGCAGGAGTTCATGATGATGGACGTCCTCCTGGAGGAAAAAGTCTTTGCACTTTGTTGTTTTTTAAAAAATTTTTTTTGGAGTGTTTTAGTGGAACTTGATGCTTATTTTATATTTTGTATTTCTTTGAGTTTAAACTACAACTTTCATGACGGACAAGACACGATAATCTCTGACTGTCAGGGAAAGCGTTGGAGGTGTTGAGGGTCGGGCGTTCCAGGAATATGGTGCTTTAAGAACCTAAGCCGCCATGGGGTCCGTTAACTACCTCAGGTTTCGAGGACTCGCCTGTTCTGCCCCCAACTCTCCCCCCTGTTTTGCACTTGAGGAAACTTGAGGCAGGGTTTGAACCCCAAACACAAGCAACGGAGCGCCTAATGAGTTCTCAGCTGAGGCTCGACGTAGGCTACCGTTTGCATGTTAGCTGATCCTCTGAAAATGAGCCTGAGCAAGCTTTTGCTGTCTTGAGAAATGAACTGAGTGATGATGTAGTTTACAAACTGTTTTTATTACTGTTGTTTTTCTTTTTAAATAGCTGGAAACCAGTATTCAGCCTTTTGTCTTCCAAGATAGGAAAACTTGTCTAATTTTTGTTTGTTTGTTTGTTTGAACCCATCAATGTTAAGGATGTTTAGCAAAAGTGATGTCCGCACAAAACATCTGTTCGTTCATAACGTGAACAAACTGACATCTAATGAAGCTGCCTTTCTTATGTGTGTATATTTTGTTTTTGTTATTTTAAGCAGGTTTGAAAGAATATGAATTTATTTCCGTGTCCTGAAACATTTAGGAATCTAAATAAACGTGGTGTGGAAAAAAAAAATTGTATTGCAAAAAAAAAGCATGATTTCAACATTTCACCTTGTACGTCACTGTAGACCAGTTTTATCATGCCATATGTGATATATTTGTGACACATTATAGAGTAAACTGGTGTTAATTCATGTCTCTTCACTATCAAGTGTACACATCATACTGGAAGAGTTTAAAAGAGCAAATCCAGCGTAATATATTTGAGCTTTGAGGAGAAATAACAGGATTTAGTGATGTACTTTGCGATTTGTGTAGTAATTTATCTACAGATGCACGAGACTTCCAACAACTTCAATAACTTGTGTTTCTCAGCGAGGGTTTTTATCCAATAGTCAGTATAAAATGTAAAAGGATCCAGTCTGATGTTCTTATTGTCAACAAAATTTTACGAAAAGACCAAAACCACCACTTTGACTTCCTGTCAGTGGCTCTCCGCTCCAATCTTTCAAAACCGCTCGCGGATATAAAGTTAGTTTAGTTCCTAAAAACAGCTAGTGCATCTGTTGGGGACTACTTTCAGCGGCGGATTCAGCGGCGGATGAATCCACACGTGGATACACATTCACTGCTGGGTTTGGGCTTTTTATGGGATTTGTTGACGACAAAAACAGACTAACCAGACGAGTCATTTTCAGAGAGGTGAGATATTTTAGTAGTAGGGGGCGTTTTTCCAAAGTCGTAGTGCGTGGAGTACTTTTTAGAGCAGCAACGTTACAGCGGTCACGCGGCGAAGAGATCGATATCTGCGCCCACATAATGCTGTGCATCCACAAGATGTTTGAATTTTAAGCACGGGGCGTGGCCGTATAGCTGTGTTTATATCGCCTAGTTCTTAAGTGGGGGACAGTGAAAAGGCATTCTGGGTATTGTAGGAAATCACAGAATAAAGCAGTTGTGAGGGTTTTTTTTTTTCAGTGCACTGTACATCACAGATGTACGTGGTTTTTAACGGTGAGACATTATGAGGTTGGGTTTCTCCTTTTTAATCCAGCCTTAGTGCGTAGCAGTGTTTTTGACCTTTTTTTTTCTATTTTATTTGCCATGAAACGCTGTGTCTTGAATCTTTAGCATTCTTCGGCGTTCAGAAAGGAGTGTGCAGCTTGTTTCTCATTTTACCAGGTTTACTTTTGTTTTACATACTAGTATTCGACTCTGTTGGATCACCAGTTTAAGGGTCAAATCATTTCTTTTGTTTGTTTTTTTTTTGCTAACAAGTGTGTTTGCATTCTTGCAAATGAACTGTTTTATACTGTACAGTGAGTTTAAACCTATTTTTCTAATAAAGTTATTGACTTTGTTCTGGGGTTGTTTGATTTTTGTCAATGTGTGTTAAGATCGTGGACTTTTATCGGTCTGTGAAGCTTCACATCATAAATTTAAAGATTCCCATTTTTAAATGTGGTACAGAGCAAATTGGTCCTGAAAGTATTTACAACTACACCGATAATACTCTCATGTACTTTGGTGCAGTGGCACATACTGTAAAATACTGTAAATATCCACCATACCTTTTTTTTATTTGTATGTTTTGTTTTATTTAATAGCTTCATATGCAGTTTTAACAAAATTGCCACTTAGGGATCAATAAATTATTGAGGAGACAAAGTTATAATTCATGTGGTGACTTAAACAAAAGTGCTCTGATGCAACAAGGATTTTTTTGTTAAACTTAATCTTGTAAAATTCAATTGCCCGTATTAATCATTAATATAAATTTAATCCACTTTTGCTGGAGTGAGGGATTTATTTTGGCTTCTGAGGGGGGCGTGACAGAACCATTGTCCAATAAGACCAAAATAACAAGCAGCAGTCGGCTAATTTAAGTCAAAAAAGATGCCAATTAAATAAAAAAGGCCTTTTAAAGTAAATATAAATTAATCACTGATTATTTTTACTTTAATTTATGCGTCTGTGGCCTTTTAACTTGATGAGAAAATATTGCACACAGTTTTTTATACATCTACAAACCACATAAGTAACACAAAGGCAAAATGCACTTAAATTTAAACACATGTTTTGAATAGTAACGAGGTCAGCGGATGACCATTTGGAGTCACTTCCGTAAATATGACACAACCATGGATCACCAAACCGGAAGTGGGGTTGTTTGGATTTGGGGTTGCCATGTCGGCTCTGCAAAATACGCATTTGATGCGTGTACTAGTTCTGTGAGAAGGTTTAAGGAAGTTATGGTTTTCGATTGACCGGTCAAAATAATCCATTAACCTCAGACAAACACAAAAGTTGGGGGACATTAATAAAATAGAGAAAACAGGTTACACCAAAAAATAAGGATAGAGTTTTTTTTATAAATGTGATTACACTTTAATAAAGTTTCCTATTATTGGAGATGTTGACTGACTATTTCTGTTGAATAATGGTGAACTGAATATTTTGGACTATTACTTGGATGAAACAGGCAATATCTAAAAATGTCGTAAATTTTGATGGTGAAGGTTTGATTTAATGTATTTTAGTCACGGACGAGTCAGAACTTATTTTTCTATTTATCTATTTTGTTGAGGAAAATGGGGCTGAAATTTATTTACTCATGCATATTTGTTGAAATAATAATAATTGTCTTGAATGTTCTACCTCAGATTTGTGAAGTGATTAACAGTTTGCACAACATATCAGATCCTAAGTACTTATATATACATATTCTGTCAATCTCACATTTATTTAAGATATCTTTATATAAAACAAATTCCTTGTATGTGTAAAAAATATATATAAACCTTATAAAGGTTTAAACCACAATTAACAATCTGGTTTCTTCAACTTTCACTCAGGAGCAAAACGCTCCCTTTCAAACTTTAAATAAATAATTATTTGACATTTATCCTGATAATAATGATCAATATCAAATACTTTAAGCGTGTAAACATTTTTCACCCTATAGCCCAGCCCTGTATTTAACATTTCCATAAAGAACATAGCTAAGCAATGTTTTTATGAAAGATTTTAAATGCAAAGTACCGCAAATATTGAAGGTTTGATGAAAGTCATTTAATCTCTTTCAGAAGAATGGATAATGAAGCTAAGTTTGATAGGTGTATAATTTTTGTTTACCTTAAAGTCAAAGTTGTATTTTAATATGAACGGAGGTGGTGTTTTTTGTTTTTTGTTTTACTTTAAAAACCGGGATTAAGCGTGTTTTTGACGGACCTGGCAACCCCCCGGTCGGATTAGACAACACTCAGTCTGTCAGGGAAGTCGGTCGGGACTTTAAAACATTGGAAAACATGAAGTAAAAACTTTCTGAAGCTGAAGAAAGTAACATGATTTCTTGGGAGGACTAGTCCGGCTAACAGCCGAAGACTCCTGCAGCCTGTGGATAAAATGCGTTTCATTATATGACCGTTTTGTTGCCGCTGTAAGTTTCTATACAAGCGAACGTTAACCGTTAGCTAAGCTAAGTTAGCTACAACGGCTCGACCGAGAAGTTTAAACTGACATTTTAGATGATAAACCTCACTTTTATCCGGCGTATTTAATCTAAACAGGCAGAAACACCCCTTTCAAAGAGTTAACCGTTAATCCTTTCCGTCGACAGGTCAGCATGGCAGGTATTTTAACGTGTTTGAAGCGGGGACTGAAGGTTGACGTGCTGAGGGAAGCTGGCCGTCAGTATCCAGTCTTCTGCTTCCTGCTGCTGTCTATGCTCTCTCTCACCGTGCTGCTCAACAGGTAAACTGTCGGTATTATAAACTGTGTTTACTGGGCCGGAGAGTGTCAGATTATCTCTAAACACTGCCTGGGTCATGTGGTGTCTGACCTGCACACCTGTGTGTTTCAGCCGAGTGAAGCTGAAGTTAGCCTCCCATTAGGCAGGTGAGGTGGCCCAGCCTTTCACTGTAGGGGGGCTGTGAGACCTCCTAGCAGATTGACAGGCCTTTATTGTCTTTGAAACCCTTATCCCTCTAGTGGAAATGAGGCTAAATATTCTTTAAAACGCAGGTTCAGATGTGTGAAACCCCTATCCCTCCAGTAGAAATGCAAAAAAAGGATAATGTCACTGTGTTTTTCAATCCCAGACCACATTGGACCAAGTCCACATCAAACACCACTGTAAATATTCTTTAAAACGCAGGTTCAGATGTGTGAAACCCTTATCCCTCTAGTGGAAATGCAAAAAAAGGATAATGTCACTGTGTTTTTCAATCCCAGACCACATTGGACCAAGTCCAGATCAAACACCACTGTAGCTAAAGATTTCAAATCTGGTCTAGATTATTCCAGAGAGGCTAAATATTCTTTAAAACACAGGTTCAGATGTGTGAAACCCTTATCCCTCCAGTAGAAATGCAAAAAAAGGATCATTTCACTGTGTTTTTCACACCCAGACCACATTGGACCAAGTCCACATCAAACACCACTGTAGCTAAAGATTTCAAATCTGGTCTAGATTATTCCAGAGAGGCTAAATATTCTTTAAAACACAGGTTCAGATGTGTGAAACCCCTATCCCTCTAGTGGAAATGCAAAAAAAGGATAATGTCACTGTGTTTTTCAATCCCAGACCACATTGGACCAAGTCCAGATCAAACACCACTGTAAATATTCTTTAAAACGCAGGTTCAGATGTGTGAAACCCTTATCCCTCTAGTGGAAATGCAAAAAAAGGATAATGTCACTGTGTTTTTCAATCCCAGACCACATTGGACCAAGTCCACATCAAACACCACTGTAGCTAAAGATTTCAAATCTGGTCTAGATTATTCCAGAGAGGCTAAATATTCTTTAAAACACAGGTTCAGATGTGTGAAACCCTTATCCCTCTAGTGGAAATGCAAAAAAAGGATAATGTCACTGTGTTTTTCAATCCCAGACCACATTGGACCAAGTCCACATCAAACACCACTGTAGCTAAAGATTTCAAATCTGGTCTAGATTATTCCAGAGAGGCTAAATATTCTTTAAAACGCAGGTTCAGATGTGTGAAACCCCTATCCCTCTAGTGGAAATGCAAAAAAAGGATCATTTCACTGTGTTTTTCACACCCAGACCACATTGGACCAAGTCCAGATCAAACACCACTGTAGCTAAAGATTTCAAATCTGGTCTAGATTATTCCAGAGAGGCTAAATATTCTTTAAAACACAGGTTCAGATGTGTGAAACCCTTATCCCTCTAGTGGAAATGCAAAAAAAGGATAATGTCACTGTGTTTTTCAATCCCAGACCACATTGGACCAAGTCCAGATCAAACACCACTGTAGCTAAAGATTTCAAATCTGGTCTAGATTATTCCAGAGAGGCTAAATATTCTTTAAAACACAGGTTCAGATGTGTGAAACCCTAATCCCTCTAGTGGAAATGCAAAGAGGCTAAACATTTTTAAAACACAGTTTCAGATTTGTGACACCTTTATTCTCTTAGTGAAAATAAAAAATGCGTCTTTTTCACTGCTTTTTTCACACCTTGACCACATTGAACAGGTCCAGTGGTACCTGTGCTTAATCAGGGCTTGTGTAAGCTACCTAAAGAGGTCATATTATCATTTTTGGCTTTTCCCTCTCCTTTATTTAAAACTCTGCTCTGATCTGCCTGAAAACAGCTCGTTTGTAGTCCAGCCGCTTCCCTTTCATCCCTGTGACTCTCCTCTCCCTTCCAAACACAGCTACCCTCCAGGCAGTCAGTGGACATAAAGTTGTTCCTGTGATGTAGAGACAGAGCTCAGTTAAAACTTTATGGATACAGATTAATAACTCACCGCTCTGAAACTCTCGCTCCAGTCCGTGTTGCCGACCAGCTCGGCAACACGTACAGCTGAACCCGAGCTGTTTACCGGCTTCTCGCTGACCCGCCCTTCTCTGCTTCTGATTGGCTAGTAGTCCTTAACTAGGAACTGAGCATGTGCAACTCCCAACAAAGATCATTTAGAGACAAGATGCATCACTCCATAGCTAAAACGAAGCCTTCAACACAGGCTGAAAAGAGGAGCTGCAGCAACGTGCAGTATTAAAACAAACAGTGTTTTTTTGAAAATGAAACCATGTAAATCTGTTCTGGTACAACCTCTGAATAAGATGTTGAACCTGAAAATGAGCAGAATACCACCTCTTTAAAACCTGATTAATTAACAGTGATCATGAGTACTTCGTGAGTGCAGGGTTAATTTTGAAAATCAATAAATCATAAATCAAAGTAAATTGTGATAGGAAGTTTTTACCATGTCAAAGGTTAAATGATTAATCCATTAATCAAGATAATACCCTGCACCATTCCCCGAAATATGCAACTTTGTATTCAGCCTCTTAGAAATATTGTTATATTATTATTTTTACCCTGCTGCACTGAAAACAAATCCCACCCACTCTGGTCATTTTGTCGTTAAAGTGAAGTGTCGTGGTTTAGTTTGGTCGAGTTCATTTGACATTTTAAGAATAGGAAAATTACTTAATGTAACGTGGAGAAGCAGTTAGCGCCGACAATCTCAGTATTTTATTTGAACAGTGTTTTTAGTTCATTTACATGAGTTTTTAATGCTGTTTAATAAAACTCCCTCTCCAGGTATATCCACATCCTGATGGTCTTCTGGTCGTTTGTGGCCGGTGTCGTCACTTTCTACTGCTCCCTCGGACCAGAGTCCCTTCTCCCAAATATCCTCTTCAACATAAAGCCAAGGAACACAGTAAGTCAAACATCTGACCAGACTTGGAACCTTCCTGACATTTCAGAGAGATTTGAGAGATAGTTGCAGGGCTGTATTTGGGACTGCACATGACAACATCAAGATTGGGATTAGATTAATGGTGCAGCCCTAGTTTCCATACACAGATATGTTTTCCACAATTGAGTGTGTGATATATCAGGTTTGTTTTCTCCAGCAGCGGCAGGAGCAGGAGTTGTTTCCTCTGGGCCACAGCTGTGCCGTGTGTGGAAAGGTCAAGTGCAAACGTCACCGGTACGTTCACAGGATCTCTGAACAGATAAACACTTACTTGAACATAAACACTTACTGAAAACTCAGCAAGTGTGTAAACAACATAAAAATGCATATAAATCTGCTCTGTTGTTATTCAGTTGCCTCTTCACGCTGGCGGAAGGTAAATAACTAGTTGTAGAGTATTTACTTTTTATGCTACTTTATTAGAGCTACAATGATTAATCACTAACTGCTTTGACAGTCGATTAAAGAGCTCATATTATGATAATTTTCAGGTTCAAAATCCTATTTAGAGGTTGTAGCAGAACTGGTTTACATGGTTTAATTTTCAAAAAACACCATATTTTTTTTCATGCTGCACATTGCTGCAGCTCCTCTTTTCACCCTGTGTTGTCGGAGTAGCCGCTTGGCGAGTGTTACATGAGGCGCATTTAGCTTTCATCCCTGTGACGTCACAGGGATGAAAGGGAAGCGGCTGGACTACAAACGAGCTGTTTTCAGTTCAGAGCAGAGTTTTCTGTGGGAGATGGGAACTTTTTCACTTTGCAAAACTTTTACATGCACAAAAAAGGAATATAACTCAATAAAGAAGAGAGGAAAAGACAAAAAGCAGAATATGACCTCTTTAAAGGTATGAGTAATTTTTTAAGAACAAAAGTTCTTGGATTCCAGCTTGTTAATCTGAATATTTTCTGGTTTCTTTCCTCCTCTGTGACAGTAAACTGAATATATTTTGGGTCGTGGACAAAACAAGAAATTTATTGACGCCGTCTTGAGCTTTGACACATGAAAACAATCGTCAGCTGCAGCCCTGTACTTTATATTTCTTCTTCCTTATTATATTTCAGAGGGGAATGCTGTGTATTTTACTCCCTGACATTAATATTTTATATCTTTTAGTAGATGTTGCTCGAGAGACAGAGAGAGAGGTGCTTTTTTTTGGATTTTCAACGTTTCAGCTCATGGACGTCCAACATCTCTATAGTAACTTCACAACTATAGTTACTTGGCTGATCAAGATTTTACATACATAAAATATAATCTATAAAATACAATTATTTATTCTGGATTAAACTACCCAAAGTTTGTAGTACAGAGTGAATAAAGCAGGTCAATGAACCTTTTGCTGACTGTAAAGATGGATACGTTTTGTGTTATTACTTAATTATAATGTTAAGTAGGTGAGGCTTGTGTGTGTTATTGCTTTATATGGTTACTATACTTATTGTTTACTCCTGGTACAGTCAACATATTTTCCTTGGTAACCAAACACCATTAAAGTCTAGTTTAATTTGGATAATGTCATTTTGTGAGGACACATTAAGCTAGTTTTCCTCTTAGTGGATATTATTATGCAGTATTGCACCAGACAGCCAAAATCATTGATGATGGGATTCGGCTCAAGGCAGGTTATACCCACAAAATTAATTACAGCTAAGTAAGTAACCATGAATCTCAATGTCTGACCAGGGGCCTTCTTACATGTGTTTACAAAAAAATATTCATTTAAAGAAATCAAATGTGCAGCAAGGTAGGACAGATGTGTCCGGTCAGGCATGGACATGCTCACTAGTTCGATTAAAATGCTGGGAATTTTCACACCCGTGCAGTTTGTGATTTATGATCTCTGAGATCATAAATCACAGACTGATAAAATGCACAAATATATTTTACTCTTTGCAGGCCGACCCTGCTGCTTGAAAACTATCAGCCATGGTTGGACCTGAAGGTTCATTCAAAGGTGGACGCTTCAATAGCAGAGGTAACTTCAGTGGGAGGAGGTTTCATCCTGAAATTAATTATTGATTAGTCAATTAATCCAATTTATTTTTTGCTCCTTTTCAGAAACGCACAACATAAACAAAGATTATCCCTAAACATTTGTTATGTGTAGTTATGAGACTATCTCACCAAGATAACATGACATAATGCAGTTTAAAAATTCACTTTTTTATTGTTATAGATAATACTTTGAACAAAAGTACAGCTGCTTGCTGTGTTTAGTTGCAGAGCACCCTCTGGTGGACAAACTATGCAACATGCTTGATCCGCCTCTTTGTTTCTTTATTAATTGTCGTTTATCGGCTGTTTTAAATACCGATTTATCTGCAAGTAGCTCATATGGGCCCATTAATATCTAACAAAATAACCATTAATTTATTATCCGTCTATTTTCTGACCGTTACTTACAGAATTCCTTTTTAATTTTGGTCTTCTGTTTCTGTAGAATAAAACTCTTCATGTATGCACATGCCATGTAAAAATGTACAGATTTAACTTCTGCTGTCCCTGATCTGTAGGTGTTCGAGTTAGTTCTGGAGAACTTTGTGTTCCCCTGGTACAGGTAACAAGTGTTTTATTGTCTCGAGAAAGATATTTTAAAAAGACACTTGTGAGGAAGTCGTTATGAACTCCCTCTTCTGGTTTTCAGGGACATCACAGATGACGAGGCGTGCGTGGACGAACTGAGGATGACCTTTCGCTTCTTCGCATCAGTGCTCATCCGCCGGGTTCAGAAGGTGACGCTTAAACATTCCTCAGACAGACAAAATAGAGCTGCTACAGGAAGAGATTCGTTTATAAGGCTGTAACTGACAATTTTCTTGAATAATCTGAATGAAGATTTGTTTATAAAATGTGAAAACATTCTCAAATTTGAGAAGCTGAAGCGAGCAACTTAATGAAACGATTCATTAATGGTCAGAATAGTTGCTGGTTAATTCTAATTTACTAATCTTCACAGCTAAACAAATTTTACCCCACAGTTTAGCTTGTTGTTGATCTAACCAGCAGCATCAGTAAAGCCACTACAGATGAAGAAGAAGCAGCAGCAGAGAGTTGAAATTCAGACGCCAGTTTCATGATTTAGGCATGAAATGTTTTTTACTTTTTGTCTTTTAATTGTTTCTTTTTGTGTCTTTCGCTGCTTCTCCCAGGTCGATGTTCCTGCCGTGTTTGCTGACAAAGTGATGAAAGCTGCGATGAAGCATATTGAAATTATTGCAAAAGCTCGAGATAAAGGTGTCAGATAACAAAAGTTTATTTATTTACTCTGTTATTTATATCCCTCATTTGTCCATTCACTTATATTCATTTATTAGGTTGTTTTACATTTAACTTTTAAAATGATTAATTTCACCTCACAAAACTGAACACAAAGTGCTCCAACCTTGCATGCAGCCTGTTTCTCCTGCTCGTTGTCTTATCTTCTAAATTTCAAAATGCATTTGAATTTCTGTTTATAAGTAATTTAAGCTACACTCTCTAAAAATGCGAGTAGGCAGTTGGTCTAAAGAACAAGCGTGTGGAGCCATTGTCATACTGTTTGTTTTGTTTTGTTTGATTTACACTGGGCTAAGCTACGTTCACAGACTTTGTTTTTGACTGTTCACATTGTTTTTTTTTTAAATGGGGCCCATATCAGACTCCAGTGTGAACCGACCCGCATGTGCAGAATAATAGTACGATGTCACACGCTGTCGTACGGCGGTCAACATGGAGGCCACAGAGGTTGCCAGTCCTCCTAAATTTCATTGCTCTTTCTCGGTTTTCTTCCCAGTGTCACAGTTCCCCCCAGATTTCCTGTGTTTGTCCCGATTTATGACAAATGTTCTCAACCTTTGGCCTTTCCAGCACATATATTAGAGTTTCTGGCAAAATGGTGAAACCGGGTTTATGATCTAGACTCTGTGTTCTGTTGTTATTGCATGTGTCTGTCTGCAGTGAAGAACGTGGAGGCTTTACAACAGGCAGCTCTGGATGAATACGGCACCGACCTCCACGTCGCTCTGCACAGCCGAAAAGACGAACTGCTCTACCTGAGGAAGCTGACCGAGATGCTGTTTCCCTACGTCATGCCTCCCAAAGCAACAGACTGCAGGTAGGCTGACACAAACCAGCTGACAGAGGCTAAATGGGTCACATCTAGGAAGTGTAAACTACAGCCGCTCCATACACGGAAGTAAGCTAACTGTCCTAAAGCCCTGAGGGGCTGTTAAATCCCCACATTGACTGTATGATCAAAGTAAATGATCGTGTATTAAACGTTGTTAAAAGTGGTGGTTGTGTGTTTGTCTGTGTTCAGGTCTCTGGCTCTGCTGCTGCGGGAGGTGATGGCTGGATCGGTCATATTACCCACCATGGATTTCATGGCTGACCCTGTGAGTCCAGCAGGATCAATGTTTGTCTGTCGGAGTGATACGACGTGACAATAACTGGTAAAAAAAGTTCATTTTCCATTCTGTGTTTTGCAAACTGGCGTTGAAGGTTAATCAGGACTTTTAAGGTAACACGCCGTCTCTCTTTCTGCGTTTTCAGGACACTGTGAACCTCCTGGTGCTGCTCTTTGTTGATAATAGTCCAGTAAGTGCAAAGAACATTTCAGGGAGTACTGCTCCGTTACGTTACATCTGAATCTGTGACAAGTTCATGTACTGTAGATCCACTTAAATATCATAAAGCATGATATTAATTCAGTTAAATTAATTGAAACTTTATTGCATTCAGGTTTCTCAACTAATTATTTTGCTTCTTCTGTATCTCCAGCCTGAACCAGCCACAGAGCCTCCGTCTACCCTGGTTCCATTTTTACAGAGATATGCAGACATCAGCAACAAGAAGTCGTCTGTGAGAGAGAGAGACCTTATTCACTACAAACTCAATGATCTGTTACAAGAAACATTTAAATAGATAAATATTACCAACCTTGTACTGCAGGTTTTGACCTTTTTGTCCCGCTACAGTGTGTTCAGTATCTTATGTATCGTCTTGCATGCGTTTATCTTTCGGCCTTATTTATATCGCGTATTTTTTAAACGTTTCCGATAGATAGATAGATAGATAGATAGATAACCTGAAGTCTCCCTCTCGTTGCGCAGGTGCTGAAGTTGGAGCTGAAGGAGATCAGGGAAGAGCAGGATCTCCTTTTTCGTTTCATGAACTTCCTGAAACAGGAAGGAGCCGTGAACGTGCTGCAGTTCTGCCTCACCGTTGGTACGAACAGTCATCATAATATGTAAACCGCCCTGCAAACTTAATCCTCTGATAAAGCTCAGTGACTTAGCTAGCCCTAAAACTAGCTATGCAAGCCTATCGCAATCTCAGTAAGCTAGTTAGCCCCCCAAGATCAACATGAACGATCACCCATCCAGTCTTTTTCTTACCCGCTTGTCCTGTAGAGGTCTTTACATGCAGACACGTCATGTTTACCCTTGTTTTACAGAGGACGACTCAGGAATGATTCCACTTTAGTTATTAGAAAGAAGAAGAGTCTTTCTTTTGCGTGGGGGAGCTTCGGTGAATAATAACAATTTGACCTGTAACCATGATGTCCCTTTCAGTCTGACTGTTTAAAACCTCTTGTTGGTTCCCCCAGAGGAATTCAACGATAAGATCCTGAGTCCGGAGCTGAGCGACTCTGAGCTGCAGCGTCTGCACGGCGAGGTGCTGGACATGTACGAGACCTACTGCCTGGACGAAAGCATCGACAAGATCAGCTTCGACAAGTTCATCGTGGAGGAGATAAGGAACAGTAAGAGGCTATAATGATTAGGGGCGGGACGAGATCACGCGGTATTAAATACGATACCGATACGATATCGAGGTTAAAAGCTGTCTCACGATATCAGCATCTGTACGAGATCCGTTCCACGCAGTCGGTCACAGGGCTCTGTTAAAATAAATGGGTTTCGTATTTCTTATGTGAGGCTGAATATTACGAGCAGTTTAGTAGGGATATTGAAATAAATATTAATATGAACGCAGGCTATTAATTTTAGGTTAGTAGCTATTTTAAAGTCTATCACAGAGACTGGTCACGTTCCGCCGCACCTTTTGCAGTGTGGGTGCAGGTAATGAGGTGAGTTTCAGTTGCCTACATGTTGAGATTCAACCACTGTTTGAGCACATTTTATGGCATGAATTGATTTTTCGTTTCATTGCTTTATGGAGTTAATTTAGAACAATGTTTGGAACACTTTTGAGTGTGTTAAATAAATTAATCTAATTTTTTTTATTCAGTGCTCGAGTCTTTTAATGTGGAAACGCCGACACACAGACGAGCTGACAGAATAAGGCTGATATTTTCATGCAGCTCATAAGAACACATCAAATCAGTGCATTGTTGTAGACTGCGCCTGTTCATTTAGACATTCACACTGTCGGCGATTTAAACAAATGTGTAAAGCAACATTTCAGAATAGTTAGGTTAACTTTATTGGCCCTTATAGTGCAGTGTTGCTACATAATAAAATGTCACAAAAACAACATCACATATCACAAAACACATCAACAAGAACCTGAGAAGCACTGACATGCTGTACTTCACAAAAAGAAAACAAACACAGAAGAAAATAACGTTGTTGACAACATAGTTTGATGGATTAGTGCTAGTGTGGTTATTGCATGTTGCCCTATTGCACCAAGATTACAAGGAAAGGGCTCACATATTTATTTCACACAGTTCTGTTTCACATTATTCAGCAGCTTGCATTGTTTGCATTTTCTGATTTTTCTGTCGGATAAAAGACTATTTTCCACTCATAGATTTCATCATTGAAGATTTCTTACAAATAGTTTAAAAGTCTCGTTCTCGTGAGCTAAGTGTGTCGTCACATCCCTAATAATGATATAACTACTACTTTTGGTTTTTCATCGTTCACCAGAATCTCTTTAAAGGTGCTCTCCACTAATTTTAAAATCAGTTTGTTGAAGTTTATGGGTCTTATTTGTCATAATTCATTGAATTTTTTTGTGAATTATTTTCCTCACTGTTTAGTGTAAGAGTTGAGCAATAATTGCAAATGATAAAAGAAGAGATGTTCATGAACACCTTGCTGCAGTGATGTACGGGTAAAACAGACATGAAACTTCCTGTTTGTCTCCCGTGTAAACGTTTTACCTCTCTGAACAGAAACACAGAGTGAAAGCAGTCTAACCACACGCTGTCCTCCCTCTCAGTCGCTAAAGGTCCGTACGCCGACGTGGTGAAGCTGCAGACGATGCCCTGCATGTTTGAGGCGTACGAACACGTCCTGTCTCTGCTGGAGAAAGTCTTCACCCCGATGTTCTGTCACAGCGACGAAGTGAGACACCAAAAACTCAGTCACCCACACACATCATGCAGGTTTTGAAATATAAAATACACACCTGCTTTTATGAACGACGAGTAGAAACAAATACAGGTTTCAACTGTTTCATTGTTGCTAAATAACAAAGTTTATATATTTTATACTTCACTCCATTTTATAGGGAAATATTGTACTTTTAATTACTCTACATTAATCGCACAGCTTTAGTTACTTGTTAACTTTCATGTTCAGCTTTTAACAAACAAAGCAGATGGATTATTGATTAAACTACCCAACAGTATGAAAATTGGCTCTACCTCAAATTTAATTTAAATGTGCTACATCCAGGACTTCCAGTCATACATTAGTTGTAATTTGTGCACTGACTGTGTCGCCTCTCTGTGTTCAGTACTTCAGACACCTGCTGAGAGGCGCCGAGTCTCCAACGAGGAACTCAAGAATTAACAGGTATGTTATAGTGCCTGTTTTTTAAATTAGACTTTTAGTTTGCTTTTAATTTATTTTGTCACGCGGGAATAAAAGTACACAAGAGTTAAACATGTGACAAGGTGCTGGGGGGGGGAATTCCACTGAAAAAAATAATACAAACATAATCAATCAATCAATCAAAACTTTATTACAGACTCAAGGTCCAGATCTTACCCACAACAAAACATATATATACATGCCCGCATACACACATTTGTACATAATAAAAACACCTTAGTAAATCCTGGTTAGAAGAATTTTAAAATGATTTTAAAAGACAATCAAGACATATGGGATTGGTCAAGCTCAAAATTATTTCATTTTGTGAACCATTAAGCCAGCGCATTAATTTATACAAGAGGGTTCTCAAGACAGAATGAAAGGTCCTTACTCCTTCAGCCACAAACATCTCACTTGCACTACACCATCTTGGTCTCTTGAGTAATATTCTCATTGTAACATCAGGTCCTAGTTTTTGCAGACTTGCCGTTCTATAATTTGACCACAAGTGCGCAGTAGAGAGTGGAGTACAACATGCTTTGAACAGAGATATCTTTATATCCCCTAAACTAAAATAGCCACTAGGCTTGTTGTTAGCCAGTTTAAAGTCAGGATATTTTAAACAATTACCATCTTAAGTTCTGCAGATCATGGCGACGCTCTTACTGGCATTATATTTAACATCACGTTCCACACCGAACAAATTGTAAGGAGATGCTGAACACAAGCACTACTTAAACTAAAAACATACTTACTAGAGCTGACCCTCACTAGTCAAAGATTTGATGCTTTGATGGGCGGAGCCTGATTCCACTGTCAATCTCGTAGTCTAAGCTTCACAGTGAAACAGGGATCACGCCATTTTGGTGATATGGGGGTGCTCAACGTCTGATTTTACATAGAATTACCAGTTTTCGCCCAATAAGTTAATATGCAGCCTATTACAATATACATTTCAATGTTTAATGCTGTAAATAAACATGTAAAAAGAATATAACTTTCAATAAATTTTTTTGAAGTGCATGAATAAATCCAAAATTGTAACCCTAACCCTGGAGCGGCAGTGCGCATGTGTAGGCGTAGCGTGTGTGTGGGTAGTGATATAACTACTACTTTTGGTTTTTCATCGTTCACCTGAGACCATAGAATCTCTTTAAAGGTGTTTTCCACTAATTTTAAAATCAGTTTGTTGAAGTTTATGGGTCTTATTTGTCATAATTCATTGAATTTTTTGTGAATTATTTTCCTCACTGTTTAGTGTAAGAGTTGAGCAATAATTGCAAATGATAAAAGAAGAGATGTTCATGAACACCTTGCTGCAGTGATGTACAGGTAAAACAGACATGAAACTTTGAACCACGGAGGGCAGTGAAGTTCCACTTCTCAGCCTGGTGTTGAGTTACTTTTATTTGTGTACAAACTTGTGTAGTACCTTCCTGTTTGTCTCCTGTGTAAACGTTTTACCTCTCTGAACAGAAACACAGAGTGAAAGCAGTCTAACCACACGCTGTCCTCCCTCTCGTACGCCGACGTGGTGAAGCTGCAGACGATGCCCTGCATGTTTGAGGCGTACGTAGCGTGTATGTGTGCGGTGGCGGAAGAGGAGCCCCGGCCTCACTGGTGTTGTGCCGAGTTGTCCGCACCTCGCGGGACTTTCGGATAATTTATCACCGTCGATGAACCGCCCAAAGAATATTTTAGCGTTTTTAAACAGCCGGCTACTTGAAATTGACCCGCGAGGAACCGCGACGTGCACGGAGCTGTCGGCAGCACGGCATGCACGCAAAACTCTGCACAAGACCGGTGGATGTCAGGAGAGAGAGAGAAAAGCCTCAGTTTAGCTGGAAATTTACAGTGTAAGTTGAATGAATAGAGTCTGCTCTGAATCAGCTACTGTGTGTAACCCCCCCTCCCAGCTCGCAATCTAAAGCGCACTAAACCAGACATGATTCAACACTCAAAAGGTGTTTTGTTTTTACACTGTTCCTGCATTTAGTAGTAGAGAACAGCCCTCTAAGGTTTGCTCCCTTGAAGGTCTTTTGTCCAAACTGTCATCATTAGTTGCTCTTGTGCATCCTATTCCAGAAATAGCTTCAGTTTGGAAGAAAACAGGTAAGTGGGTATTCGGCATGTTACCTGGCCTCACAGAGTCTGCTGCTTGCAAGATACTATATGCAAACAACCAGTGCGCAGTATTATAATCATATTATGATGCATGCAGATACGGTATAATTCAACTGTACGCTGCTCTGTGGATCAAACATGTCTCCTGTGTAACAAACTAGTCCTTGATTTACAAATCTTAACGTCATGAGCCTCTGCTGGGCTTTTGTCTGTGTGTGCGTGTCACGCTGATGCTTGCACTCTGACTTTAACTCCATGTTTGAGATGATGGATGTTTGTCTCCGACCGGGATTGGAAGTTTTCTTTTACCTTAGAATGAGACTTTCAACCTTTTAACCTCAAACTGACGCTGACATGCAGCAGCATCATGATGCATCACTGTGTCTTGTTCAGTTCAGTGTCTTGACGTTAAAATAGAAGCTTTGCTTTGTCTCCTTTCCAACATGGCCACTTGCAAACATCTGTAACTCCTTTAAATAGGGCTAGGTATAGTTTTTTTTTGTCTGTAACTTTGCCAGTACAATACCTAATTTTCAATATGATACCAGAGTGATATCTTCCCCTTACATAGAGGAAGTAAGTGAAACTTCTCAAATGCATCAGAGGTTCATTTTGTTTTGCACCATGAGATCATTCCCTCAATAAAATACAGTCTAAAATGCGCAAGATATGTGTTTAAATAAGTAAATATCGAATGAAAGAATAGGCACTTTGTGAGGCGCCCACATATTGTCACAACACCTGGTTAAACGTTAGAAAGTAGTTTTCAAAATGTACAAGCTGCTTTTACCCGTGGTTAAAAAAGACATTTAGCTGTCTGCATGTCTGCTGCATGACTGATGCACCACACAGAGAAAGTCAGTTTTTTTCCCATCAGTTGTCATAACACGAAGGTAAATGCTCTGTCAACGAGTCATTTTACAGTTTTCAAACACCTGAGCGTGATAAAGAAGGATGGAAACAAAGCTGACAGAATATTTAGACTGAAGAGATGAGATTAAAGGGGTCGTGTTGTAGTCGTAATGCAGGTTAGATGCGTGCATCAGCGTATTTCTCTGTTCACCCCAGAAACACTTCAAAACGAGGCGAGTCGTTCGGGATCAGCAGGATTGGCAGCAAAATCAAAGGTGTGTTCAAGAGCACGACCATGGAGGGAGCCATGCTGCCACCCAGCGCCATGAACGACTTCGGCGAGGATTTGGTGAGTGTGTCTTTTTCACGGGTGTAAAATTAGGAGCTGCGATGAGAATCTCTACCTCCTGTTGACGGTTTGCAAAACGAAGCATTTATCTACTTTCCTTTTATCCTTTCTTTCAATACATCCATCTACTCCTTTATAAATAATTTTATCTGTCCTCCACTCACACAATTTAGGTGTTACGCAGAAAATTACACATAATTTAATTTAACCTCACCAAACTTCAAAGTAAAAGTGATTATTTGTTCCTCGGTTTGGCTCTTTGTGTCCCTGCAGGTGGAGGAGGCGACTGTCGTGATGGAGGACGACTGCCCCGCCGAGCCGGCCAGCACACCGGGCGCCCTGAGGAACCTGTCGGCCTGGAGCATCACCATCCCTTACATCGACATCTACGACGACGAGGCCAAGAGGGAGAAGATCCCCGTCTTCTGCATCGACGTGGAACGCAACGACAGGAAGGAAGGTGAGCGAGCGCGAAACACAAGCCTCTGTCACTGCACTCTACCGGTATGTGAACGTAGATCTACAACGCTGAGCCGTTTCATGTCATAGAAACATACTTCACTTTGGCCTACTGACGTCTACATTTATCTAAATTGTTTGGTAAACCCAAAACATGTGTCACTCATTATGTGTGTCATTAAAGGAATGTCTCGGTATTGTTAAACCTGGTGATGAAAACGAAGTAGTGGAGTTTGTCGTGTATGGATTAGAGCTGCACAGATTAATCGCCAACTATTTGATTAATCAGTTTGAGTCCTGTTTTAAAGAAAAAAGAAGTAAACGTTCTCTAATTTTCGCTTCTTAAATGTGAATATTTTCTGGTTTCTTTCCTCCTCTGTGACAGTAAACAAAAAAAAAAAAACGCTGAGCGACATTTTTCACCATTTTTTTACAATTTATCGACCAAAAAACGAATCAATTAATCAAGATTAATGATAAGATTAATGAAATGAATCATTAGTTGCAGCCCTAGTACGTCGAGGAGCTAGCAAGACTTTATTTCCTAACGTTACTCCAACACGACAAACTCCTCTCTCCAACTCTGACTCTCGTTTGCACTGTCGTCTGCGACCTTTTCAGCTGCCGGCTGAAACCATTTACTGTACGGATTCAAAGCCTACGAGTCATTACAACACCAACGTAGTGAATATAGGCCCCAGGTTTCCCTTTGAGTTGGTCAGGAGTAGGAATTTGTTTTGACTGATAATTTTGATCCAGGGACAAAAGCAGCAGACAATTGAATAACTAATCAGATTTATTTGCTTTCAGACCAAATAGATTTTTTTTTACACAGAGACAAATGTCAGTGGAGTCTGTGGCTCGAGTCATCAACTTCCCCACGCGTTAGCCTTTAACAGTCAGACATGTTGTAATTTGTCGCCCTCTTCTTGCAGCTGGTCATGAAACTGAAAAGTGGTCGGTCTACAGAAGATATCTGGAGTTCTACGTACTAGAATCCAAACTCACCGAGTTCCACGGTAACTCTAATGACAACATTAGCCCACAGCTGTTTAAAACATTTCTTTCCGTGTATGTTCTCCATAAAGAGCTACATGTGAATGTTTTATTCCATCAATATTTTCCAGGCACATTTGCAGATGCGCAGCTTCCATCCAAAAGAATTATTGGACCAAAGAATTACGAGTTCCTCACATCAAAAAGAGAAGAATTTGAGGAATATTTACAGGTATTCAACCTTAATAGAAATTACTGCATGCTTACTTTTGTTCTGCACGCTCTAGAGTTGGGTGAGAGTTGTAGTGAAGGCTGTCAACACAATTAGAAACTCATGATTTAGTACTCAATGCATATTTCATGTTTGTCCCATTTATCAGATTTGATCGTTTGTGTTGCAGCAGAACAGCAGTTGAATTAAAGTGTAAATGTATGAAGCTGCTGGTGTGTGTTTGTGTGCAGAGACTCCTGCGGCATCCAGAGCTCAGTAACAGTCAGCTGCTGGCAGACTTCCTGTCTCCGTACAGCATGGAGTCTCAGTTCCTGGACAGGATGCTGCCTGATGTCAACCTGGGTACGTAAACTTCACTACTTTACTTGACGCAGACAACAAGAACTGTGATTGGTCAGCTTGTTAGCATCGCATTCCCTCCATGCCTTCAGGAAGTGCTCTGCAACCTCCGTGTTGCCCTGCTGGTCACTGAGCAGCAGCTAGAGGCTTTGACAACATTCGCAGGTCCCTCCGTGAAGGAGTTGTGGTCGTTGCTGTTGTCCAACCAAACCTGATTTCATACAATTAGAGATTGTGTAATTGTAGATTGTGATTCCAACATATTTTCGAGCCCTGCGACTTTTAGAAAAGAACAGACAACATACTTCCCTACTTGACAAATGCTTGCGTCAAGACAAGGTGTCAAGTCAAGGTGCAAAAACTAAACCCCAACCTGGCCAGGATTAGCTGATCTGCACCGCACAGACATGAACCACAGTCTTCAACCTGGGCTTCAGATCCCCCCAAATTCAGTCCACTTATAAATGTGTTCTTTTTATCTAAAGCGAACCTGCTGACTTTTCTCCTTCTACCTTTTCTAAATATCACCTTTCATCATCATCATCTTTTCTTATCGGTGCCTTCAGCTTTTCCTCCTCCCGAAAGTTTATTTATTTTAGATTGTTAACTGAGTCTTTGTTTTACAGGAAAGATTTTCAAGTCTGTACCAGGGAAGCTGATGAAAGAGGTGAGTCCCTCCTGAGCTGAAATGAAGAATAATAATGGAGGTATTTTTAAATATTTGTACACCTACCTACCTATAGAAATTCTCCAGTGTTTATGCTAAGCTGAGCTAACAGACTGCCTGCTGTTGCTGCACATTTACAGTACAGACATGAGTGGTAAACTACTCCTTCTAAGGTATTGGCTGTCCATTTAAAACCAGTGCATGGAAAACAGACACTCTCTGTAACTGTTTACATTTTATATATAGCCAACCACTGCTCAATGTAATCAGTTAATGTCAGTTCAACCAGCAAACATCTCACGCTGCATAAAAGGAGTTGATTTTTAGAGGGATGTGAGCGTTCAACAAGATGTAGTGGATTTTTTTATGAATCATGTTAAGCCAAAAACAACAACAATATTTGCACAAAGGAAATACTTCTGGCGTGAAGCTTTTGTTTCCCCAGCAGCAATAACTGTGCAGGGAGTAGTGATGATGGAAACTTCCTTTTAATCAGAGGACCAAGAGGAGTTCAAGTTAAGTAATCAGTAAACCTCCAGCCTCCCACAGCCTCCCGAGGTGCTGCTATGTGGCTGACCTCTGGGTGTGGGAGTGGAAGATAAGACACACAGTCACCTCTTGAGAACTTTTCTTTATTCTCCCAGAGCTGTTCAGTCAGTGGAGCCTGAATTTCCCACATAACCGTTCAGTCCAGGATCCTCAAGGGAAATCAGGCTGAGCAGAAATTATTAAAGTTGTTTTGAAAATTATTAACTTCCTGGAAATATATAGATCAGCTCCAACATGATCTGCTCACTGTCTGTTGGCATTGTTTGCAATAGCCTCCTCCAACAAAGAAGAAGAAACTCAACACAGTGGAACATTAAAAACCCCGCCGCCAACAAGAATAAATGCTCACAGCGGCACGTAGCCAGCGCCCTCCGTCAGTGCTGTGACTAGTTCATCGTGACGCAGGTGATATTAAACAGTGAAACTTAACTGACGTCTTGTTTTTTCCAGAAAGGACAGAACCTGGAGCCTTTCATCCAGTCCTTCATCAACTCCTGCGAGTCGCCAAAACCCAAACCCAGCAGACCCGAGCTGACCATCCTCAGCCCCTCCACCGAGAACAACAAGCGGGTATAAAAAAAAAAAAAAAAAAGATTAAATTCTTCTTAACACAAACTAAACATGCTCCCACCAGGCCTGGATATGAGTACTCTTTTTGTCTCGTGTTATCATTGCTGGTAAATCCCCAAAGTCCTCAGACTGTCTGACACTTTAATAATCAGCTTCAAGAGGTAAACAACTCAAATCAGAAGCATTTTATCTGAGCTTTCCTGTCGGTTTAAAAACATCCATTTTATCAGGTCTGAGAGGAAAAGTATTTCCTCTGTCCTCAGGGAGGAAGACAAGTCTGTATGATAAGAGTTGGGCAGGAAACTAATTTTGTCAGCACAATATATAGAATGTTCAAACCTACATTTACATCCACTCTAATTAGGTGATTTCAGCCCCCATCCCAGTATTGATTACAGAATTAAGTCCAGTCCGGAGGAACAAGCTCTCCCCCTGCAGCAGCGTAATGTCGCTTGACGCAGGAGCACTTAGAGTAACGTTTGCTTTAAATTACGCTTCAATGCATTCCTGCCACAAGTTGATGTTAATCTTCACAAAGCTGAAGGCATGTTTACTTCACGTGACTCCGCAGATCAACCCGATAAGTTTCAAGATTCACATCCAGTGTTGTTCAAAATCCTAATATTCGTGACTCTCGCTGATCATTCGCTTTGCAGCTCTTCAGCGACCTGTTCAAGAACAACGCAAACCTGGCAGAGAGTCTGGAGTGGAGAAGCAACCAAAACTGCTTCATGGATATGGTCCCTGTTGACGGCATGTATGACTACATGATGTACGTCGGTAAGTGACGGTCACCAAATCAAACTCTACTGAAATATAACGCAGTGCTCAGCAAATTTGGTTTCTTCCAACAGACCTTTTGACCTTCTGCACTTCCCCCTCGATACCAAGAGCTGAAACTTATTTAGAGGTGTGAGACTAATGGAAAACATCTGAAGGAACTTGTTTCTGAACAGAAGTTATTTTTCTCAGTTTCAACAAGTTAAAGGTTTACTGACTACATTTGTGTCGTTTCTGTTAAAGAGGAGAGGAAGTGAAAGAACAAAACAAACACGGTAACACCAGATGGGGGAAAAAGGATAATGAAGGCAATAAATCAGAATTTCACAGCTGTTTTAAGGCAAGTTTATTTGTAGCGGGACTAAAAAACACAGAGACGAGTTCATGATTTGAAAGGACATAATTTAAAAACACTACAAAGAGAAGAGCCTGGTAGCATCGAATGGCGTGTGAATGACACACCGGTGTCTTGTGTAATTTCACGCCATTTAGCGCCACTCAACTGCGTCTCAAGCGTGTCATTTTACACGTGAATGTCAGAGAAAAACCATCAGGTGACAAAGTCAGCACGGGGATGAGGTCAGAAGTTAGATTTAAATATAGTTAGGGTGCATTAAAAGTGATTTACAGCAACAGTTTAACACCAGTTAGCGTCATTGTCACCACTGTTAAGTGTTTTTTAAGTAAAATTAAGTAACTAACACGCCAGCAGTGAAGACAAATAGTAGAAGAAAAGATGAACACTGAGGTCTGCACTGTTCTTAAAGATGTCTCCACATGTCTTGATTGCTTCCCGTCATCAGTTGCACATATCAGTGGACAGATTTCCACCATCATTCTTTAAAATACTTAGATTTTTTAAAACGTCCAGTGTCCAAAAACACATTCCTGTCCCGTGTTTATGGGAAACTGTTGCCTCAGATACAGACACAGCTTAGTGGTGTATGGACTCTGTGTTTTGGGTGACAGGTCGTGTGGCGTTCCACATACCGGACTGGCTGCACCACATCCTGGCCGCGGGGAGGATCCTGTTCAAGAACACCTTCGAAGCCTACATGGACCAGTACATGCTGTCTAAACTGGAGCAGATCCTCCAGGAGCACCACCTGGTCTCCCTCATCACACAGCTCAGAGGTGCGTCTCTCTTTCCTCTTACAGCCCAAGTATAAATGCACAACATGTACAGATTCCCACTAAATACAGGTTTGTTAAAACTCTGAGGATGACTGGAAGTAGTTTTTGAACCACACATTATAAAATGTACAATTAGTTTTCTGCTGAAATCTTAAAGTGGACAGCAGAGTTACCAGGTGTGGTTTTTACGTGTGATGGTTTGAGAATCTGCAGTCTGTGCAGTTGTTGTCTCTCCTCTTCCGTCTTTGAACTACAGAGACAGAAACAACAATATATCTTTTGGAAGAACAAATATAAAAAGCTCAGAATGGACTGCTTGATGTATTTTGTGCCGATTCATTCCCGCAGACGCCGTCTTCTGTGAGAGCAGCGTACAGCGAACCACAGAGGACAAACAAGTCAGAGCCAAGAAGACCTTTGAGGAGATGATGAAATATTTACCAGGTCAGTTTTCATCCAACATCTCATATTCTGCGGCAACGTTTTCTTCATGTGGTGTTCATTGTTTCGCACACGATGTTGAGACTGTTGGGCGGTCCTTGAACACTGGGAAGAAAATTTTGTACAGGTTAAATGTATTAATTTGGTGCAAAATTAAGAGGCTATCTATGAAGAACTTTGCACTCTTGTAAACAATGTTGTGCTCTAGTAAACAAAACTAAACCCACTGGATGAAACTGCAACAAAAGTCAACAAATTTATTGAATGTTTTTCCAGCAGTCCTAAATCAATAAAGTGAAGTGTTTTACTTTTAATGGAAACATGTAATGTGTTTTATACTTTCTGTGAATATAATCCAATTAATCTTATTTCCATCCTGTACAGACGCCTTATTTTGTAAACCGGACGTTGTCACATGTGTTTCCTCCTCGCGCTAAATTCATCCAGTGCGACCCGGTTTGATAAATAATGTTGTATGTGGTTCTTGTCCGGCGTAACATGAACACTTCACAGCCTCTCTTCAGGCAGGACTCTCATACTGCAGCACTTGTCTTTGTAAAGAGACAAACTGACAGGATAAAGTCTCTAACCTGCCTGTCAGCTCGCTCTGGGCCGCTTCACTTACCGTAAAGGCTTGAATACGTGTGCACTCCAAATGTAGGTGTGACTAGCTTAATCGCCTTCTCACAAACAAGTGTCAAAAAGAGACCGTTACCGTAGTTAACTCAAAAGAAAAGTGGTTGTCTCGAGTCTGATTATAAGTGTTTGAGCGAGCGAGCTTAGAGTGCCGTGGAGCAGCGCCCACAAAACACAACGTTAGAGGTCTGAAATGTTGTGTAAAATTCTTTCGGTTCATTTTGAAACTATGGCGGAGCAAATTAGACTGTGGCGGTCCGCTATGGTCTCGTTAGTTAATGGTTGTGGATCCTTGTGATAGATTGTTAAAAACTCTTAATATTCCATGACTATTTTTTAAAAATTATTTTCCGTCTCCCCTGGATTCTAAAATCAAGGCCTCAGTTTCACTACGTGTTCTCAGAAATACACGTTATCATGTGAGCATGTTCCTTCCAAGTGAGTTGAAACGTGGAAGGAACAGATGTCAGAGCATTTAAGTGGTCGCCTCAGACTAACGTGAATGAAAAGAGATCCCACTCGTTTCTGATGTGCTTCAGGTGCATCTTACATGAAAACTTTAGGTGAGACTGAGAGTTCAACGAAACACACCGTGACATCAGTTTAATAAGAGCGTGTGTTTTTGATTTCAGACTTTGTGGGGAAGTGCATCGGCGAGGAGGCAAAATACGAAGGCATTCGGCTCCTCTTTGAAGTATTCCAGCAGCCGCTCCTCAACAAGCAGGTAAACAGACGGTCTGAAACCTCCATAGTTCTTATCGGCCAGCAGGTGTGTCCTCTGCAGGTGTGTCGCTTCTAGAGATCAAACGGTATGAAATTGTATTATATATATTTAATATAGTGACCAAAGTTACCACAGTATTGTTAAAAGGTTCAAAAAGTACAGATACCCACACTGAATATAATTATAAAGTGTTTGAATGAGCCCATCACAGTTTACATCAATACAAATGAGTCTTATGAAGACAGATAAACATTTGACGTAACCACAGAGGAGTCTGGTACAGCAGCGTTTCTCCAAATAAAATACTGTTTAAAACTGGAAAAATACAACCACAATCTGATTTTGATGCTACGTCCGAGGGCTGGGCGATGTGGCCAAAAAGGTTATCACGATAAATGTCAAATCATTATTTCTTTCAAGTTTAAAGGCTGATTTTTGCTCCCGAGTGAAAATTGAAGTAACCAGATGGTTAATTAAACTTATCTTTAACACTTGAGGCCAAATAGTGGATCACTTCACAAATCTATGAATCTATGATCTTTTTCAATAAATATTTTAATAGAATAATTAGGTGCTAATTTGTTTGATTCAAATTAATTGAAGCAAATATTTGATATATTGAACATTATACTATTATATATTATATTGTTATTGAGGAAAATTACATTGCGATAGTTATCACTATTATTTTATTGCCCAGCCCTACATGAAAGTTCTTGACACTCACTTAAAAGATTTCTCTGTTGTAAATGTGATATGATTTTAACAACAACAACAAAAGGTAAAAAAAAAGATGCAGAATACTCTGTGGTATTTTAGTATCTGTATTATAAATGATTGTTTTCACAGACCAGTGGCGCTCACACGCACATCCAGGTGTCCTCTCTAACCGAAGTGTTTTGCTCGTTTCCCCTCAGATGACGTACGTCCTGCTGGACATCGCCGTGCAGGAGCTTTTCCCTGAACTCTGCAAGGTAAACAACTGACAGTGGAAAATGTAAAGAAATAATACAGGAAGTGATTCAGCTCGCTGTCTTATGTTTGTGGACATGTAGAATGAAATCTTAAAGGAGAGTACTCCAACATCTGACACGGGAGATCCATCACATTGTGAGCATCAGTTCTTCCCACGGCATGTTTAAATGTGAAATATGTTTGAATATAGTGTAAACCAGGCCTGGCGCTCTCTTCAGTTGTGGTAAATAAATGCCCTGCACGCTGTTGCAGTATGTTTAGTCGTTGTGTGTAAATATTAAGCCCAGAGAGGAAGTTGGGTGCTTTCATTTCTGGATAAATCCCCCCAAAAACAGCCGAGGGAATCCTAAAGAGATAAGAAGCGATGTGTAAATGTGAAGTTTGTGCTTCTTATTTGCGTATTTAAATTTAGTGCAGGTGTTTCCGCTTTCACTAAATTATTATTGAACCAGTACAGATTGCGTAACGTCCCATGATGCAACAAGGGCATCGGTGAATTCAATAGATCTCTGAATATGAAGAGGATTGTGCTTAGAGTTTGGAGCTGAGATTAACAAGCTGAAGCTGAGTCACAATAACAAAACACTTTCCGCTTCCTTTTTAAAGGAATAGCCTTTTTTCCGAGAGTGAGATGGAAATCATTACGTACAAAGGTTAGCCGTGTCTCAATTTGGATACTTCCGTTGGTACACCAACATGTAGTACGCTATGTGCGTGTAGTGTGGACATTTTGACAGGTTAGTGTTGTTTTTAATCAAACATGGCCATTGAGCATTAATGCCTGGTGCACCTAGAAGATCTTTAAATCTTAACAGATATTAAAAACGTGGGACACCACAGTTTCAGGGTGGTGGTTCCGGGGACTTGGGATCTCACAGAATCTCACGTGATCACAAGGGACTTCAGACGTAAACAAACATGGAGGCAGACTGTTGTCGTCAGCTGGTTGAAAACAAACCAACGAAAGAGAATCCTACTGGATGAACTCGAGGCTGAGAAGGTGAAGTCGGCAGGCATTTTATAGAGCAGATGCACAACACGCCGGGGACGCTTCCTCATTGGCCGCTCCGGGATCATTTGGGCTGATAATCTGTTCCGACCAGCCTCGGCTCAGGAACCACCCTGTGATTGTCTGGAGGACGAATTGGACCAAAAAAATCATCCCAACTATCCTCTAATGTGAGGAGTGCAACGTTCGACTGCTTCTTCATCTAAATCTAATGGCAAATTGTAACTAGGCGGATCACCCGCCAAAATATCTGCCGGCTTGTTTGCTCACCTGACTAAAAAATGAATAAAAAAGAACTCACTTTTACAATCGTAAATGTATTTATGCTGTCAAGACAGGGCGCGACTTGAGACACAGCGGTAGCCTCAGGCTGTGGTTAGCCTAGCTTAGCATAAAGCCTGGAAGCAGGTGGAAACAGCTAGCCTGCCTTTCCCCATAATTTGACAATATACCCAACTAAACTTCACTCATGAGTACCTTGTTTGTTACGTTGGTGCACAAACAGAAAAGTGACAATTCGATTCACAGGTATTGATGAACTTTGGACAGAGCCGAGTTAATTGTTTGTTACGCTAGAGGATCGTCTGACTCTGAGCCAAGCTGTTGACCTGTTACGTCATATGATTAGGTCAAATGAAATTTCTCACGTGCCGTCAGCTGTAATATTAAACATTTCACACTTACTGAAGTGAAGTCGCATCTTCAAGACGACCTTGATGCCGTTAAAGTGAACGTTCAGAACTGAAACTCCTGAAGCGAAACTTGAGCTTCCCATTTCCATTCAGACGACTGAAACCTCCACAGCAACGAGCGGTCCGCACACCTCTGGTTCCACTTCCCATTTTTGTTTTTCTGTCTCATATCATTTAGGGGTCCACAGCAGATGTAGCATGTGTGAAAGGCCACAATGACAATAAAACAGTCAGATCAGAGGTGGAAAGAGTACTAAAATATTCTACTTAAGTAAAACTAGTGTTACATTGATGAACTTTTACAATGAACTTACTGGTATAAAAGTCTACTAGTAAAAGTAAAAAGTAGCTCACAGTAAACATTACTTTTTTTAACCTAAAACATACCGATTTAATATTTATACTTAATTAAATCGTCGTAAGTCTTATTATGCTTTCTATTTAAGTTTGACAGATACAAAGCAATCGACGCAAAACAACATTAGAGACTTTGTTATTAAAAGAAGTTTTTTTTGCTTCTTTATGAAACTGTGGCAGAACAGATCAGACGGCGGGCCGCACTGGGCTGTATGTGAAGTTATGTCCCCATTTACATTCAAACAGGTGGTCATTTTAATGGGACATCATAGACGTCAGCACCATTAACTAGTTAGGTTGCTAAGGCCAACCAACATTAGCGTCATGCAACGATGTCTTTTTGGCTAATTTGCGCAAAGCCTCTTAATAAACTGTGAAAACTTCTTTAACCAGCTACCTTGTTTACAAGTAGGGCATGAACTTCGGGAGGAGCGTGATTCCTCTTTCTAAAATCTCGTTTCTAAATCTTCCGTATCATCATGCGTAACTCGTTCCCTCGTTGGATCAGGAGCCACAGACAGTAGACATTTAAAATGTAGCACAATACTTTAAACAAAACATACTTAAGTAAAAGTGAAATTACAGATTATAAAAACTTTAAAAAGTTCAAGTACACAAAAAACTACTCAGTTACAGTAATGTGAGTACATGTAATTAGTTGCTTTCCACCTCTGCATTTGAAAATCTGGAACTAATCAATTGTTGGTATTTTTTCTCAAAAGTGAGAAATGCTGCTGTCAGATGAACTAAATCAAACTGATAAACTGAAGTGAACCACCTTGATGTTTCCCCCTCAGCAAGGAGTGAAGGAGCCGATGGTCATGTGACGCAGACGATGTATCGAACACTGGATACTCCAACGTCCCGGGTTTATAGAAGAGCAGTACTGAACTATTTCAACACCTCTGGGATCATTTTTACATTCCAATGTATTTTAATGCACTAATAAAAAGATATATATTTATTGATGTCCCTACAGATAACGCTGTCTGTCCTCTTTTCCTTTCACCACCAGTGACGAGATTTGTTTAGATGTTGGCAGATCAGAAACCCTCACAGGTCGACTCCAGGTTCAGGTTTAAGATGTTATTACCTGTTTTTTCTTCCTTCTGATGAACCGTGCAGACAAATGCTTGTGGCCTGGGTTACGAAACAATGGTGGAAACACAGAGCAGATGCTGGACAGCTGTTCTCTGGCTTTGGTATGAAACATCTGGATCTGGTTGTTGGGAGGACAAACTTAATATCTTTCCTGTGATTTCTGAAGCAAGAGAAAGTTATTCAGACACGCGTTTTCTTAAATTATCAAAAAATGGATCTGCACTTAAAAATGACCTTTGGAAACCTGCAGTGGAACAGATGTCCAGGGTGACTCATGAAGACACACACTCCCCCTGGTTGCGTGTCGAAATGTCCTTGGGCAAGATACTGAACCTCGAATTGCCCCTGGCGGCTGTCCTGCCAGTGTGTGAATGTTAGTTTCGGTTTGAGCACTGTATGAATGTGTATGACTGGTGAATGCAGATGTAGTGTAAAAGCGCTTTGAGTGGTCGAAAAGACTAGAAAGGCGCTATACAAGTACAGAGCATTTACATTCACTCCTAATTCCTGACAGGGAACATTTTACAGGTCAGCACCCAGAGGTGTGACGCGTTCACTTACCGCGGTACGTGTTGGAGTACGTTTGAACAATATGTTCACTTACCGCGGTACGTGTTGGAGTACGTTTGAACAATATGTTCACTTACCGCGGTACGTGTTGGAGTACGTATGAACAATATGTTCACTTACCGCGGTACGTGTTGGAGTACGTATGAACAATATGTTCACTTACCGCGGTACGTGTTGGAGTACGTTTGAACAATATGTCCACTTACCGCGGTACGTGTTGGAGTACGTATGAACAATATGTTCACTTACCGCGGTACGTGTTGGAGTACGTATGAACAATATGTTCACTTACCGCGGTACGTGTTGGAGTACGTTTGAACAATATGTTCACTTACCGCGGTACGTGTTGGAGTACGTTTGAACAATATGTTCACTTACCGCGGTACGTGTTGGAGTACGTATGAACAATATGTTCACTTACCGCGGTACGTGTTGGAGTACGTTTGAACAATATGTTCACTTACCGCGGTACGTGTTGGAGTACGTTTGAACAATATGTTCACTTACCGCGGTACGTGTTGGAGTACGTTTGAACAATATGTTCACTTACCGCGGTACGTGTTGGAGTACGTTTGAACAATATGTTCACTTACCGCGGTACGTGTTGGAGTACGTATGAACAGTGACGCATTTACTTACTGTTGTACATGTTGATGAACAATGATGCGTTCATGTACCGATTTAGGTCAAAGACTACAAATCTTTGAACTCAACTGAACGAAGTGATTCGAATCAAATGATTTCTGATTTCCACCTCTACTGATGACGCCTTCGTCTGACCATCTTTACTCCAGATAATCCACAGATCAGGGACCAGTTCCTCTGTAGAAGCAGTTCTAATCAAAGCGGTCCACTCTGAGGTAAGAGGGAGCCTGGTTCTGGACAGACACGGCGCAGTAAAATGTGTTCATAGTTATTTTGTATCGTTAAACCGGGCGCTCTTTTCATTTATTAACTAAACAGCAGCTACAAATGAAAACCTGACTGTTTCCCAACGACGACGCCTGCTGCTTTCCAACTAACTCTGTGTCCTCATCCCTTCCCAGAACTGCACTTAATGAAAAGCAAGGAGAGAATAGTTTCCACTGTGGTTGTTTTCCAGGCCTTGGCAGCTCGTGTCGGAGCAGTTCTGTGCCAGTTTCATTGGTTGGCGCCCAGAAAACAGACTGAGTTCCCAAGCATTAACATGTTTAGGAGAACTCCCACACAGAGGAGGCCTTGTTCACCGAGGAGACCCAAAGAGAGTCTATGGATGTTACAAACATAGAGTCTGCTGCCGGTTTCGGTTCGGACGTTCCTCTCGTCTCTCCACAGAGAGTTCAGAGGTTCAGCGTCTAAGACTCTTCTCACAGGAACTTTAACCCAGGTACGCAGGAACGACTCTTTCTAGGCACTCAAATATCACTAAGTTTAATTTGAAGTAGTAGTACTTAAAGTACTTTCTGAGATCTGAGTTAGATTTATTCATCAGGAAGAGAAAGAGCTATGACCTAAACTCTGTTCACAGTTTCTTCCCGCTTTGACTTTGCGGTATTATTAGTTATTGAATTATCATTAATAGAACGAAGCAAAGCTATGAAAATAAAACCCATGTTTCCTTTAAGTGCTGGAGTTTCTGTTCTTCTTGCATACATGAGACGTAATTCTGTGCGACTACTGTTTCTTCCCAAATTCCCATTTTGTCACATTTACTTGTGACACTGTTCCTTGCTAAATGTGTTCACGCCAATGTTTCGCTTTTAAACGGAGACATTTATCTTGAGCGATGTACAACAGAAACTACAACAATCACACTGGAGCTTTGTGTTGCATGTGTCCAAAGCGTTTGAAGCAGTCAAGACATTTTTAAATTGACTTTATGGTGAGACTTTTCCCATCCACGTAGACGCACATTATTAAGAGAACAAATTAAACTTGAACTCCTGCTGCTACAGGAAGGCTGATTGCTTTTTTGGCCTGAAGTGAAGCAAATTTTAACATCTGTGTGCTTTAACTTCCAAAGAAGGCGGATAACTTTACAAACTCAGTGTTTGATTCAGATTTCTGTTTCCACTGAGCTTCAATAACACACTCCCTGCTGTGTGGTATCAGATAAAGCGGGAAAACATGACCTGGGTAAATATGTAGTGCTCTGAAGTCTGCTGAGGCACATTATTACATCACATTATCCCATTATTAACAATTACCTTTCAACATAATGTTTATACAGCCGCAGAAAAGCATCAGTCATTTCTGTCTACTCGTGTGATTGTGAGGATTTGCACGTCTAAACATCAGATGAAACATTTAGATAACATTCCTAATAATTTCCCACGAAGCTTCCAAGAAAAAAAACAGTATATTTTGGCAGTAATTATATGTAAAATGGAGGCCGTTGTCAGTTGGGAACAGTCGCAGCATTTTATGACTAATCTACAATGTTATAATGTTGGATGTTCATGTTTAACATGGCCAAAGCTTCAAATAATGAGGTTAAAGTATTTAAAAGAAAACCTCAGGTTTCCTCCTGTCCAGAACGCTAAGTTTGAACTGCTTTTTGTACCAACTAGTGTCGGTGCCCCATAAATGGTCATTTGTTCCCACAGCAACGTCTCAGTCCGTCTGTACACACATGCTTCAGGTCTTGACCAATCAGAAGACAGTGGGCTTTGAGAGGGGAGGGGGGGCTTAAAGAGACAGGAACATCTACAGCTTGTTTCAGACAGAGGCTGAAATTAAGGCCTACATGAAGAGCCAGTATGAGACATGCAAATCTGCCATACAGGAGTCACAGAACTACAATATAGGACTGGAAAAACAGTTTAATTGGTCTCCTTTAAGGCCAATTAAATGCCAAGATAGCCAAGTTAAAAAGTCATTGCACTCCAGTAAAAATGTGAAATTTGTTTGGAGACAACAATACAATTTATCATACTTTAATGATAAAGTTATTACAGTGAGTCTCGCACCACGCTAGCAGCTCGGTGCTTAGATATAGCGGTGTCTCAAGCTAAAAGCTAACATGCTACAATGACAATGCTATACTGATTATTAGCAGGTCTGTTTACCATCACAGTACAGTGTGTTAGTATTTCACATGGTGCAGTGCTGAGGATGAATTAAGGAGTTTCAAGGTTTCTACCTGCTGAAAGTAAGTTTTTCCTTATTACTGTCGCCAAGTGTTTTGCTCATGGTGTGAACTGTTAAGTGCCTGTTGCTCCTCTGTAAAAGCTGACAAGAACTTGGCGTGGGAATTTGGTCTTCTTAAGCTTCCTCAAGAAATACAGTCGTTTCTGAGCTTTCTTCACCAGCGTGGAGCATGTGAGACGACCATGTCAGGGTCTCCAAGATGCTGATTCCCAGGAACCTTAGTTTTGCTGATGTTGAGCAGCTCGTTGTTCTCTGCACAACACTCAAGATTATGAATTTCTTCCCAATAGTGTCATTGTTTGAAATCCAGCCAATGACGGTGGTCTCATCCGCAAACTTCCCCATCTAATCCAAACTATCTAGAGTCAGCAGAGACTGACGGGAACATCGTTAGTCCTGCAAGTATTTGGTCATCAAAATCAAATTATTGGACACAGTAAATCATTGTTCTGAAGGTGGCGCTACATGAAACGTTAGATGATCGCCAAAGTTGTTATAGTTCATCCTGAGGGGAACATGAAAATGTGTACAAAATGTCCATCTGTTAGCTGTTTCACTATAAACTGAACTGAGTATTGTCTCTACTTTCATTATAATTAGTACAAAATTATGATATTTATAGTAAACCTTCTAGAAATTATTAGGAAATAACACAGGAATAAAGCCACGTTTGTTTTTAACTTCTCAATCGCACCAAAGTAGGGATAGGGATCGTTAATTTTTATTGATCTTGAGACTTCTTAACGATCCGGTTCTTTATCGATACCACTATCGATCCTTTACTATTATTTAGTGATGGTTATTTGGTAAGACCAGACCCAACGGGCATGAGGTAGGCCTGCACGGTATGAGGACAATATTCAATGTGCGATAACGTTATATATTGAGATGACTGATTTGAAGTGTACATATTAACTGCCTGGTTGTTTTTAATTTATTATTTTAAATACAGCTAAATGTTGTTTCTAGACAACAGCAAAGTTACTCAATAACTTTATCTGACATCACAAGTAGTGAGTGACGTTTAGAAAGAACAACATCAGTCTGTATCAGTCCCTCCTCCTCTCTCGCTGGCTGCAGGTAACGTTACAGGTAAGAAGAGGAGCGTCTGGTTTGTCTCAGCCAGCAGCTGAGTTTTTAAGACTACAGACCCGTCTGTGCTCCAGACAGACAGCTTTCTATTCAGCTTGTTGGCTAATGCCAAGTTAGCGTTAGCTGTACTTGTATAAAACATACAGGATGAGATACTGAGGACAGGGATGTTTAAATTAACCATTTCTACATGTTTAACGTTACCTTACAGACAGGTGGATTGATAAAGTATTGTCTTTATACTTGCGAAGGTTTTATTGCACGGACTTACAGTAACGAGCGTAGCTGTCATCAGCTAACGTTACAGTAGTTTGGAGCTAAGTTAAGCTAAGCTCACCGTATTCCACTGCGGCGGCGCCGCCTCTCACTCGGCTGCCGCTGTGTGTGTGTGTGGGAGCAGGCAGAGACTGCAGCCTGATGATTTTCTTATCCATTGCGTTTCAAATTAAATCACATTTGACGCTCGAGACATAACGTTACATCATAGCCCGCACATCTCGATAGCAGTATCGATAAGCTCGAACCTTATTGATTTTCGGGTTTTGAGAAATTTTGGAACCGGGTCTCGATCCCCATCCCTACACCAAAGGCTCAATGATTACCTACAGTGATAAACTGTAGAAAAACACAGGTGCACCATGTGGTTTGGATAGCGGCTACTGCCAGCATCTGGGCCGTAAAAATATGGGTATGGGAGGTGAATCCGTGTTCTTTGATTATTCAGTTTCAAAACCAAATCAATGAGAAATTGTTTTTGCTCCAGTGAGTTTGAAACCAGCTTGGCGCGATCCTACAGTTTCTTTAATTTCTTTGTTCGTATGTGGCTATAATATAGTGCTCACTTAAAAAACAACTTTTTTTTTTGTTTTTCCAATTTGGTTTTGAAACGAAATAATCAAAGAATGAGCCAGACACGGATTGAGGTGCTTTGTTTAAAGGCGAAATAGTTTAGTAATGCTTTATTATTTTCAAACTAGCACTGGAGACGTAGTGTGAAGGAGACAATCTTGTGGTTGTTGTTTTTGCCGTTTTGTCCAAACTTAGTCCAAGACACTACCAACCAGATTGTTTTTGAGAATTTGGCTGCCAGAGCTTACACCTTCTGTTTTTGAAAAAAAACAATACATGACGCTTTTATCCAAAGCAACTCACAATCGCTGTATATAAGTCAGAGGTCACACATTGTTGGATGTGTCACAGTGGTAATCAAACCCAGGCATCTCATACTAAAGGCATGTGTCTTATCCACTGCTCCATTGCCACCACGCCACAATCAAAAGTAAAGTCATATTTCTGTGAAGTTAGATTTTCGGTCCCGCAGGATTGCAGTTTGTTTGTCGGTCCTTGTTTCTGGGTAAAGTCAGTCTTAAACGCTCCCACACAGAGTCCAGAGCAGCCCCAGTGAAACCAGTAATACCAGTGAAGCGGTTTGTCCCCGCAGTCCAGAAGCTGAGTTGTAGATCTTGATGCGTCCTTCGACAGACGGATAAACTTTCTTTCTTTGTGTGATGTAGTTGGACACGACTGAAATGTCCAAATCACCTGGAAGGAAATACAAAGTCATGTCAGGGTAAAGTAAATGGTACCTCAGGAATCCATTAAAAATCAGCAAAACAAACAAACATCTCACCGCTGTTGTGTTTGAGCGTCTCGTCCTTGATCATGGAGAATCCGTCTCCACCATTCACCATGTAGGACGGCAGCACCACTTTATAAACCGTCTCGTCCTTGACGGGTTCGTAGTGAGGAACTCGACATTTCGTGCAGAGGATGCGGAGGCTCTTCACGCGACGCCCCGGAGGTTTGGAGATGTCAAACTCTACACGAAATCCTGTCGGAGGACACGGAAACATCATCAGTCTGACTCATTCATCAGTACATAGACATATTTGTGGTGAAATATCTCAGGTAACTATCAATTACTGAAAGCTGGCATTGTATGCCTGCTCAGATCGGCTGTCTTGAAACAATTCCTCCTACCAGCACCTCTACAGCTCCCTAACATGTTATATCTTGTTTAATTTGTACAAAAATAACACATTAAGGTTTTACAGGGGATTATCTGCTAGAATATGTCTTGGTCGTCAGTGAGCTGTAGAGGTGCTGGTAGGCAGATCTTCCCGTTCAGAAAGGAGGCAGTCTAGCTACCGTTAGCTGTTCTCTTTGACAGATCCAGAGTTTTAATAGCAGTCATGTGATCTCAGCACTCTCTACATTACTTTGTAATTCAAATCAAGACACACAAAAACGTCTCAGCAGGGCTGGACTGGGACAAAAAAGGTATTTTTGGTCTACAAGTGATTTTCACAGCAGTGTGGGATTGGACAACTCGATGCTGGCCCACCAGGCATTTGTCCAGTATGCCAGATTACCAGTCCACCCCTGTGTCAAGTCAAAGATTGTGCTAAGAAACAGGTAATACTTTCACATCATCCTCCCATGGTGAAGAAATGTGATGTGAAGAAGTCTTCTGCTCCCGATAGATTTAAGTGTCCATACAGTGTTTACAGTGTTTCTTCAAATAAAAGCCAGGTCTGGATTAAGGGCTTGAATGGACACAATCAAATGAAGTCCGGTCCCAAATACAGGACGGGGGAAAATAAAAAACCTTCCCATTGCTTTAAATTGTCATTTTAAAACTTGTTTTTAAGTATTACTGTTCTATTTCAGTTAGCTTAGTAACCTTCAGTAACCGTAGCTTCAGTAACCGTAGCTTCAGTAACGTTAGCTTCGGTAACAGTAGCTTCAGTAACGTTAGCTTCAGTAACGTTAGCTTCAGTAACGTTAGCTTCAGTAACGTTAGCTTCAGTAACGTTAGCTTCAGTAACAGTAGCTTCGGTAACAGTAGCCTCGGTAACGTTAGCTTCGGTAACGTTAGCTTCAGTAACCGTAGCTTCAGTAACCGTAGCTTCAGAAACATTAGCTTCAGTATTGTTAGCTTCGGTAACAGTAGCTTCAGTAACGTTAGCTTCAGTAACAGTAGCTTCGTAACGTTAGCTTCAGTAAAGTTAGCTTCGGTAACAGTAGCTTCGGTAACGTTAGCTTCGGTAACGTTAGCTTCAGTAACGTTAGCTTCAGTAACAGTAGATTCAGTAACAGTAGCCTCGGTAACGTTAGCTTCAGTAACAGTAGCCTCGGTAACAGTAGCCTCGGTAACGTTAGCTTCGGTAACGTTAGCTTCAGTAACTGTAGCTTCAGTAACGTTAGTTTCAGAAACATTAGCTTCAGTATTGTTAGCTTCGGTAACAGTAGCTTCAGTAACGTTAGCTTCAGTAAAGTTAGCTTCGGTAACAGTAGCTTCAGTACCGTAGCTTCAGTACCGTTAGCTTCAGTAACGTTAGCTTCAGTAACTGTAGCTTCAGTAACGTTAGTTTCAGAAACATTAGCTTCAGTATTGTTAGCTTCGGTAACAGTAGCTTCAGTAACGTTAGCTTCAGTAAAGTTAGCTTCGGTAACAGTAGCTTCAGTACCGTAGCTTCAGTACCGTTAGCTTCAGTAACGTTAGCTTCGGTAACAGTAGCTTCAGTACCGTAGCTTCAGTACCGTTAGCTTCGGTAACAGTAGCTTCAGTACCGTAGCTTCAGTACTGTTAGCTTCGGTAACAGTAGCTTCGGTAACAGTAGCTTCGGAAACGTTAGCTTCGGTAACGTTAGCTTCGGTAACGTTAGCGTCGGTAACGTTAGCTTCAGTAACAGTAGCTTCAGTAACAGTAGCTTCAGTAACGTTAGCTTCAGTAACGTTAGCTTCAGTAACGTTAGCTTCAGTAACAGTAGCCTCAGTAACCGTAGCTTCAGTCATTGAGAGAAAACGTAACGTCACATACGCAACTTTTGGGTTTGTGTTGTAATTATATATTTAAGTCTTAAATATATACTCTACTTCAGCAGTTTTACAAGAAACTGCAACTTTCTTGACTTTCAAATGTATATTTTAAATTGACAAACATTTTAACGTTTAATTCAGGCCACAATTCAAACAGGATAAAAAATGAGTTGTCTCATGGTGTTCACTACCGTCCATATTTTATTCCGAAGAAAGGTCCCGTGGTGATCTACTGGAAGGGGAGGGGCTTAGGCTATCCATTATGTAGTAACATACAAGTGCCACAAGATGGCGATAGCTACATTTGAAGAGCTGTACAGGAACCCTGCAAGTCTCTGATCCTTCCAAAACACGATCCAGCAAATGTTTCACAACAAAAGCCTCGTTAAGAAATGAAGGGCTTTTAATTTGAAACAGATACAGGAAGTGTTGAGTTTGTATTAACAGCAAGGAGGCTTCGAACTAAATATATTAAGGAAATGGGCTATATACAGATGGACACGATGTATATATGGAACAATACCGGACACTTGAAGGAATTCCCCGCTGCTTTGGCCGTATCGCCACACTGAGTGTTCGAAAGCTTTCCTCAGCGTGGAGCCCTTCAGCTGCACCACGTCAATGGTTCCTCCGAAAGGTAGGACGGAGATCAGGTCCTCCATGGTGATCGAACCTACAGACGACACACCGACGCTGTTTAATATCACCCTTCTTCAGGAAACACTCCTGTCCTCTCAACAACTACTTATCCTCAGAGTGAGTCTTAATTATGTTTATCGTAATTAATTTTACAAACCGTTCCTGGTGCGTTCATCGATAGACGTGCGGACGCCTCCTCCGTTGAAGATGCAGGCGCTGATGTGGTTCCACTGGCCGCCAGCTGAGAATCTGATGTTGTGGTCGATCTGAATAACGGAGACAAGAAGCAGATTCCCTCAGTCACACATGGCTATAATTTTTATTTATTTCATTTGTAAGGAAATATGTACTTTATTTAAATGATGTAGCATAAATATCTACAGATTGCTCGTAGGATCGGTTCCTTGACAGTTTCCATGATCAGCACGATCGTGGTTTATCTGTTTTGGCTGGTCTGCCCTGCTTTCAGCTCTCAGTCCGGTTGTTAGATGGAATACTCCTTTAATAAGTATTCAGGATAGGGTGACCAGACGTCCCCATTTTCTGGGGACAGTCCCCAGTTTTGGTGGCCTGTGTTAGCAAAGGTATGCCTTTGTGAAACTTTAAAGTTTCTTTTAATGGAATAATCACAATTGTGGCCTAATAAGTATTTTCAAGGCCTGACATTTATGTGATTATAGAGAAGCCTGTTGTTGCTGATGGAATAGGTGTTTGGTAGGCATAGGATGTCTAATATCCTTGTTTATGTTTGGACAACGGATTGTGGCCTCTAAATAACATAACTTGCTGAGTTATAAAATAAAGACATCTCTTTTGCAATTATCCTTATGACTCTACATTATTTAATTTGGTGTGTACCAACTTATCCAGTCCTTTTTACCTCTTAAAATACCTTTAAATGGCCAATACAACCCATAAAATGCAGTATTTCACTTGTCATAAAGTGATTGAAGCCTCTAGTTCAGGGGTATTCAATTAGATTTCAAAGAGGTCTAGTTAGAGAAAATTTCCTGAAGCAAAGGTCCGGAACATCAAAACGACAAACTTGCGTTATCATTCAGTACTATAACCTATAGTTGTATCAACACATGTTTTTAGTCAACAACGGACTGTCAGTTTTCACATCAAACTGGAGGGATAATAAATAATAACTATTCAAATAATAAATTCTAAATTTAAGTAAACTAAAGTGCCTAATTTTTAGAAAAAATGTAATAAAAAGTGTAGCTTGAAGTGATGAAGTGTAGTCTTAACCAATTTTATAATAAACACACAAATGAACAGCTGTAATGCCTCCTCTTCTCTTTCATTTCCTCTTACAGAGCTACCACTTTCCTACTTTCTGTTGTTCAGTGAGAAACGTGAGCTCCAGCTCGCATATTGGAGTTCTATGAGATATTCTGGTTTTGAACTGCCCGTGGGAGGAATGTACATGTAAAAATCTGTACATTCTTGATTAAAAGTCATGTGAAATCTCTTTTATCTTTCGTCTCCTCAATTCGGGTATGTTTCCAAAACGTCTCTGGTGAATCTCGCGGACTCGACTCGCAAGCATCGGTATGCACAGATTTGATTGGCTGAGCAGCGTCACATGAGACGATTGGAGCACATGCGATTGGTCTGTGAGTTTCCTAGTCCTCTAAACCAGTACAGTAAATGCTAGAAAAGCTGCGCGGGTTAAATTAGAAACGCTCCGTCACGAGGTAGTAAGTCTCAATAATAAATGGGCTGTAGGTCAGCGGTCCGGAGAGGACGGCGGCTGGGTCCGGATCCGGACCGTGGTCCGCCTATTAGTGACCTCTGCTCTAGGCCTATATATTTATTGACTGAAAGGTAGATTCTGCCTCAAAATTAATTGATTTAATTCAGAAATCATATATTTATCAGTTATATTTGACAGATTATAACTCAACTATACTTTTTACCTCTTAAAATACCTTTAAATGGCCAAAACAACCCATAAAATGCAGTATTCTACTTGCCAGAAAGTGATTGCAGCCTCTACTTATTGAGACTGAAAGGTAGTTTCTGCCTCAAAATGACTTTATTTCATTCGGAAGAGTTATATTAGACAGATATAAAACCGAAATTGTCCCCCTTTGTATTTCATATATAACATTATGTTTTTTAATGACATGCTGACCACCAAACTGGTTTTCATTTCACAGATCTGGTCACCTTAATTCAGGAGGTAAAGACTAACCATGGCATCACAGATGAGGCTTCCCAGGTTGCATTCCCGAAATCGACACTCTTGGGAGGTCCCGTTCAGGAAGACCAGAGTCTTTCCCACCTCCTGAGCCGAGTAGTTGGCCAGATTCTTTTTCCATTCCTCCACATCGGCGAGAATTTCTGGATCTGGGTGTGACATTTCATTTCATTAAACATTGAGATAACAACTCAGCTCATGTTTGTTACCTTCCTTGTTTTCCTCGGCAATCACTTCTACTGGCTTTTAAAGTCACTCTCACTGATTCCTGAGTATTTACATTTTACGCCACTTTATACTTTACTCCAACACATCTCCGTACCTGTCAACCCTCACGCTTTCCCCCAGATTCTCCCGTATTTTGCTTTTCTTTCCCGCTGTCCTCTGTTTAAATATTTCCCCGTAATTCTTCTGTATTTAAAAAAAAAAAAAAAAACCTACTTGGGTGCATTTTATATTATGTTTCCTACATTCCCAAACGCCACTGCCAATAAAACGAGAAGACCGGTCGAAGAAGAAGAAAAGCAGCGCGAGGGTTCAAGCACCGATGACAGTAAGAGGAATGGGGTACCTGCCAGAAAGGCGAACATTTATCTCAAGTATTTCACCAAATGGAAGGAATATCTCTTACTTGCTTCACCTTCTTCTGTCCAATCACTCTCTTCTACCAGTTGTCTTCCTTAACCAGTTTCCTCTCTCAAAATTACACTAGTATTTTCAAATCCCAAACCAATGCATGCATCTCCGAGGTAAATACATTGTTCCCTTCCTCCTCCTCCAACTAAAAAAATATCTATATCTTCTGGAAAATGCAACCTCTATGATGTAATATCGCGGCCACAAGAACAATGGAGAAAGTCATTTGGAAGAGAAAAGGAAGTTAAATTATAACCCAAAGTGACTGTTAACGTGCTACACAGTTCCTGCTTCGCCTTGAACTGCTGTCCTCACATGTGGTGGTCTGTTGGTTTGCCTGGTCCCATATGTCAGCTATTAACTTCAACAATGGAAAAACCTACGTAAAACAAGTTTGTAATAAACTGAAATGATCCTTTGACGTGAATTTAATGCCAGTGCTCTGATCAAATTCCTCAGCAGTATGAATCAGATAATAACAGGAGATACTGAAGAATGATCCTCATCTGCATCATCCTGGGTTTTAATGTGTTTAGTAACTGGTGATCAGTATTTCAAAACATTCAATCCAGACGGGGTTCAAACGAAGCTGCACATACTGTATGTGACATTGAACATTCCTGCTACAGTGTAATTTACAGAACAGAAACCAGAGAACTGAAAAAGAGCAAATATGAAACAGATCTCGTTCTGTAATCTGAGGAGGTCGGACCTGTAACATTTTTGCATTTCATCATTAGTAACACAAGGAGACATCACTGAATCATCGTCTCTTATGCACAAAGAAAACAGGTTTCATAAACTGGGAAACAGTAACAGTGTGAAGGAGCAGATTTTGATTAATCAGATCTTGCAATTTTTAAATAGGAATTAATCACGAGTCCCAACTTAACATCGTTTCATTCTCACATTATAGAACAGTTTTGATTTGGCCTGTGACAGAGCTGAAAACGGTCTTCTTCCTTCAGATCAACTCTCTTTAACTCATAGCTGTTCTGTAGAAGTGGCGTCGCTGCTTTTCTCCCGCTAAGAGGGTTTAGACAGAGATAAAAACAAGATGTAGATTGCGTTTTGGTCTCTTTACCCTGTGGGACACTGCTGTCCAGCAGGATGGGGTTTCCACTGGACTTCACTACATTGCCAGCATGGTCAAAGGTCACCGTCAGATTACCCAGATATTTTCCAAAGGCGTAGGCCTGCACAACAGGAACCTGCCGCCCGTCCTCTGATTTCACCATGAACGGATAATCACCCACCTGGACCTCAGAGGAAGGAGGTGGTCCTGAAAAATGAAAGCGTGGAGAGAAAGAAAGAAAGATTTAGCAGCAGTTTTTATTTGTAAATGAAAAGTCGTGCAAGTTTCTCTGAAGATCAATGAACTAGACTCTGCAGAAAGGCCCACAGGCGTCTCTATTTTCTGAGGAGGCTGACATCTGTCGGACAATGCTGAGGATGTTTTATGAATCTGGCCAGTGCTATCCTGTTTGCTGCTGCATGCTGGGGCAGCAGGTTGAGCGTAGCGGACATTAACGAGACTCAACAAACTGATCCACAAGATCAGTGACGTTGTGTGACTTCATGACGTGCTGATCAAACAAAGGAAAAGTTTCAGTGCAAGAGTCATCCTCCAAAATACACCACAATGCACCATTCACAGTCTGTTACTCCTCCCTCAGGGCGTCAGACACTCAGACTCTTAGTCATTAAACTGAACCTTGAAATGTTTCTTAATCCTTGTAATACTTGATTAATGTGCAATAATCTGGTAACTGGCAGTAATGGCGGAGAATAACTTTAAGAAGATCCCTGCAAAGCTATGGATGCAAAGTTCAGTTTCTCTCTTCTGTGTGTGGGTTTAATTGAGTTTTAAAGTACAAATCTGCACTTCACACCAGGTCTTGAATGCCTCACTGTCAGCTACAACACCACTCTTCTCCTCCAAAGTCCAAACAATGACTGAGTGCTGATACACTCAGTGGGGCCTCAGAGTTACATAAAGCCTGAAAAACTTCCTGGAGTTTCTGTGGCCGGAGGTCCAAACCAACAGCTCAGCTCCTCGGTGCCTGTTTACTTCTGTTTATATAAAACCCTAAAGAGTTACTGATGGACTCTCGTGTCGACGGCATGTTTACTTTTTTTAGCCAAACCACCAAAAGTTTCCTCCTCTCCAGGAACAAGAACAACGCTGAGAGAGACTTACAGCATTAGAGTGAAACGAAACAATTACTGACCTTTTCTGCTCATTAAAAAAAACAAAAAAAACACATGAAGCTGAGAAAGTTATAAGCTAGCTGACAAAACAGGAAGACAAACTGGCTGCAGAACAACAGAGCTGGCAGCAACGTGATCTCTAGTAACGGCAGGTATCTGTGTGTTTGTATTTGGATTATGTTGAGAACCGTTCACCTAATAGACCTCACATGTGACGGATTCGCTGCTGCAGACCCAGGGGGAGTGCAGTGTTGCATTTGGTGCAATTGACACGCCACACCTTCGGAGTTAATGAACGTTGAATAAACTACAGTACAAAGAAAGCTGCTCCGCTCTGCAACAGCGAGGGCGGGTACGCTTGCAGGGGGCAGGGCCTATATGTTCTGATGTGGTAGTGAATTGTTGAGTTATCGTCATCATACAGGTTACGTTAGAAACTAATGTTTAACAGGAGCTGTAAGAGTGCAATGAAGTTCTAAGGAAGTACTGAGTATCCAGCAGTATCTTCGCCATCGTCGTCTTGTTTCGGTGATATTGATGCAGTAGGGGAATCCAAAAAGTGTGAACGGGCACTGCACTAGTACAATCAGTTCAGCTCTTGAAACGTAGCTGTACACACTTTGTATCTGCTGGAGTAATATGTGAACGCAGCATTTGGCTCTTACAGCGTCGCCAAAGCTGAAGACTGTGTGGTGTATAACATACAGTGGGTATTCAGACCCCTTTAAATTTTTCACTCTTTGTTTCATTGCAGCCATTTTAAAAAAAATAAAAAAAGTTCATTTTATTTCTCAGTAATGTACACTCAGCACCCCATCTTGACAGAAAAAAACAGAAATGTAGAAATTTTTGCAAATTTATTAAAAAAGAAAAACTGAAATATCACATGGTCATAAGTATTCAGACCCTTTGCCGTGACACTCATATTTAACTCAGGTGCTGTCTATTTCTTCTGATCATCCTTGAGATGGTTCTACACCTTCATTTGAGTCCAGCTGTGTTTGATTATACTGATTGGACTTGATTAGGAAAGCCACACACCTGTCTATATAAGACCTTACAGCTCACAGTGCATGTCAGAGCAAATGAGAATCATGAGGTCAAAGGAACTGCCTGAAGAGCTCAGAGACAGAATTGTGGCAAGGCACAGATCTGGCCAAGGTTACAACAAAATTTCTGCTGCACTTAAGGTTCCTAAGAGCACAGTGGCCTCCATAATCCTCAAATGGAAGACGTTTGGGACGACCAGAACCCTTCCTAGAGCTGGCCGTCCGGCCAAACTGAGCTATCGGGGGAGAAGAGCCTTGGTGAGAGAGGTAAAGAAGAACCCAAAGGTCACTGTGGCTGAGCTCCAGAGATGCAGTCGGGAGATAGGAGAAAGTTGTAGTAAGTCAACCATCACTGCAGCAATCCACCAGTCGGGGCTTTATGGCAGAGCGGCCCGACGGAAGCCTCTCCTCAGTGCAAGACACATGAAAGCCCGCATGGAGTTTGCTAAAAAACACCTGAAGGAGTCCAAGATGGTGATAAATAAGATCCTCTGGTCTGATGAGACCAAGATAGAACTTTTTGGCCTTAATTCTAAGCGGTATGTGTGGAGAAAACCAGGCACTGCTCATCACCTGTCCAATACAGTCTCAACAGTGAAGCATGGTGGTGGCAGCATCATGCTGTGGGGGTGTTTTTCAGCTGCAGGGACAGGACGACTGGTTGCAATCGAGGGAAAGATGAATGCGGCCAAGTACAGGGATATCCTGGACGAAAACCTTTTCCAGAGTGCTCTGGACCTCAGACTGGGCCGAAGGTTTACCTTCCAACAAGACAATGACCCTAAGCGCACCGCTAAAATAACGAAGGAGTGGCTTCACAACAACTCCGTGGCTGTTCTTGAATGGCCCAGCCAGAGCCCTGACTTAAACCCAATTGAGCGTCTCTGGAGAGACCTGAAAATGGCTGTCCACCAACGTTTACCATCCAACCTGACAGAACTGGAGAGGATCTGCAAGGAGGAATGGCAGAGGATACCCAAATCCAGATGTGAAAAACTTGTTGCATCTTTCCCAAAACGACTCATGGCTGTATTAGATCAAAAGGGTGCTTCTACTAAATACTGAGCAAAGGGTCTGAATACTTATGACCATGTGATATTTCAGTTTTTCTTTTTTAATAAATTTCTACATTTCTGTTTTTTTCTGTCAAGATGGGGTGCTGAGTGTACATTACTGAGAAATAAAATGAACTTTTTTGATTTTTGGAAAATGGATGCAAAGAAACAAAGAGTGAAAAATTTAAAGGGGTCTGAATACTTTCCGTACCCACTTATGTGCATTTGACGCATAACAGTTTAACATAGCACTGCAGCAGCTGGATAGAGGATTAGTGACCTTTAAGGGGAGAGCAGAGGTCAGTGGTTACGTGGAGGCTCAGACCCTTATCTGGTGTCCAACAAGATGTCTACACTTATCCTATAGAACTTTGCTCTTATATGGATTGGTGCCTCAGTTTGCAGACTCTGACCCTTATATGGTATTTAGCAGATACCTAAACATGTCCTATATAAGCTGTGTTTGATGTACAGAGAGACAGAGTGGCCATCGGGCTGGGTCACTCTCCAAGCTGCTGCAGAGACCGCTAGATGTCAGTTAGCTAACCAGAGACTAAAAAGTAAGAAAATATACAACTTTTGGAAGTTTAGTTGTAGATGAATCTATGATTTAAAGATAAGTGTGACGTTAGTACGAGCGTCACCACAATATGACTTCAGAAACACTCATCGGCGCCGGAAATGAAGATATAACGGATGTGATCCTAACAGCTGTATTAACCTCCGTACCTGTAAAGAGGAAAGTGTTGCTGTGTCCCCCGATGACCACGTCGACTCCGCGCACCTTCTTGGCGATCTCCTTATCCACAGTGAAGCCCGAGTGACCCAGAGCGATGATCTTATTGACTCCCAGCGTCTGCAGTTTGTCCACCTGCAGCTGCACGGCGCTCACCTCGTCCTCGAAGCGCAGGTGTGGTCCTGAACGCCAACATGAACAGGAGAGAAACTCTGTAGAAAACATCTGTTTAATCCTGCACAAGTTATCAAAACTGAAATGTATGATTGTAAATTATGTTTCTTATTTTCCTTTTTACACTTGCTCAGCCAGTCAGCCAACAAAAGCAGGAAGACAACATCGCTGACTTTAGAATTTGATGTTAAAACAGAAAGAAAGATTTGCAGAGTCTGTCCTCCCTGATTTACTTCCCTACTTGATATTCTGAACACGTGTTCTTTTTCACACGCCGGCAGCTTCAACAGTGACTCTGTCTGCCTTCATCTCCTGAATGAGTAACTCTCTTTTCTTTTTTTAGGGTCAGGCTGCTTCACATGAAGTTATTGAACGCACCTTAGAAACAAGCGTGCAGCCAAATCTTATTAATCACTTTTCAACAATCAGCATTGTTTTATTGTTCATATCAGTTCAGTCGGATAATGTCTAACTCTAAAGTGACAGAAGCCAGAGCTGATCAATACTGCTGAAACCACCAAAGTACTGTGTAAATATTTGATTCTATCTTTTCATGTGACAACACTGAAGAAATGACTCTTTGCTCCAATGTAAAGTAGTGAGTGTGCAGCTTGTGTAACAGTGTAAATTTGCTGTCCCCTCAAAAAGCACTCATACGTCTATTTCCCAAAGACAACCTCTGGATATGACGCTGAGCGCGTGCACTCCACTTCTTTGGTCGACCATGGCGAGGCCTGTTCTGAGGGGAACCTGTCCTGTTGAGCCGCTGTGTGGTCTTGGCCGCCGTGCAGCAGCTCAGTTTCAGGGTCTTGGCGGTCTTCTTACAGCCTCGGCCATCTTTATGTAGAGCAAGCATTATTTTTTTCAGATCCTCAGAGAGCTCTTTGCCATGTTGAACTTCTAGTGAGCAGTATGAGGGAGTGTGAGAGCGATAACACCAAATTTAACTCCCCTGCTCCCCATTCACACCTGAGACCTTGTAACACTAACGAGTCACATGACACCGGGGAGGGAAAATGGCTAACTGGGCCCAATTTGGACATTTTCACTTAGAGGTGTACTCACTTTTGTTGCCAGCAGTTTAGACATTAACGGCTGTGTGATGTGTTATTTTGAGGGGACAGCAAATTTACACTGTTATACAAGCTGCACACTCACTACTTTACACTGGAGCAAAGTCACATGAAAAGATATAATCAAATATTTACAAAAATGTGAGGGGTGTCCTCACTTTTGTGAGATACTATACATGTATTCTCGAGTGAGTGATGAGAGCTGAGTGAGCCTGTTATTTATCCAACTTCAGGGCCAAGCATATCATCCCACAGAGACGCGTCGTCCCTGAGGTCTGAATAGCTCAGAGATGCTTTGACTGTTACGTTTACACAGATTCAGCGCCGCATCACACACGAGTCTCTCTCATGAGTCCAGGGTTACATACAAAACATTTGGAGATGATTCCCATTCCACTAGTTAAAGCAACACACAACTGCTTGCAATTTCTTCTCCCATGAATTCTCTGCTCCTTTTAAAGTTTTGTTAAAATCTTCGGCAACAGCTTTCCTGTTAGGCGTTCACTCAGAAGTACACTAAATGGACAAAAGTACTGGGACACCAAAAGGAGATTTAAGACTCTAAATACATAGGCATTGATACGGACTCTTCTGGGAAGGCTTTCTACAATATTTTTGCCTGTTCATCCAGAAAAGCATTTGTAAGGTCAGACGCTGATGAAGGCCTGATTCGCAATCTCTGTTCAAATTCATCCCAAAGGTGTTTGCTAGGGATGAGTCAAGTTCTTCCACACCAAACTCATCCAACCATGCCTTGGGCACAGTCATGCAGGAACAGAATAGGGCCTTCCCCGAACTCTTCCAACTAAGTTATAAGCATAGAATTTTCTAAAATGTCCTGGCAAGCTGAGGCAACATCATTTCCGTTCAGTGGAACTAAGCACAGTCAGGTGTGTAACGTTCTCCTAGCATTTGACAAACCCAGACTCAGAACACGTTTCCACTGCTCCACATTCCAGTGGCGGTGTGTTTTTGATCACCCCTCTCTTGGCATTATGCTTGGTGCTGTAAGGCTTGTGTGCAGCTGCTCGGCTATGAAGCCCTGCTGTGTAACATTCCATGGTCTACCGTTGGCCATGATGAATGAATGCCTCCCCTTTGAACTTAAACCACTTACAGTTGTATAATGGAATATCTAGGAGGGAAGACATTTCACCAGCTGACTGTTGCAACGCTGGCGTTGAGAGAGAAGCTACGTTGTCCTTAAAAACGGTGAGTGTCTGAAATAAACTACAAAAGTTTTTCTTTGTTTTTTAGACTTTCAGCTTAGATTGTTATTTTGATTGCACCATCTCACACGTGGATCCTTAGTTAACAGGGCCGAGCAAAATTACTGCAGATTCTCTCCGCTGGTTAAGCACTTATTTCAGTTATCAGAGCACTAATGAGTGACCCCCACTGCACACACAAACATAGACACACACAGACCTTTAGGTACATGCAGATAGACTCGTTACACTGCACAGTACGCAATTCTGATGGACAGGATGCAACCATTTTTAATCATTTATGGAATAGGGACAGTGGAAAAAAAAAAAAAAAGAGAGAATTATTGCAACATATTATCTGGACAAGGAGGCTGCGCTGTTGTTTTATTTCTTTTTCTCCTTCTCTGATCTTAGCTGTACCGAGGGGGATGTACACACATGGCGAAGCAAAGCCAAGTGATTTGCAAACGGATGGATTTGGGGATAAAGTCCACCCGGAGTTGGCTGACTGAAAACAGGCCCGTAAGTTGGAATTTGAGAACACAGTACAGTAAAGAGCAAAAAGTCCTGCTCAGGTTAAAAGAACCGTTGAACTAGTTCCTGTAACATCTTTTTACACACCATGGTTAAAACAATAAACTGTGCAAACTGAATGAGAGTCTATAGCTGTAGTTCACACAAAGTTTGATTTGATTTGTGAAATAATATTTACTAAAAAAAAAGAAGCGCTTGGAAATATTAAACATGTTTTCTTTTTGTTCCCTGCTGCAGGCTGCAGTGACCTGTACGCACCCACATTTTCAAAAAAGACTGTGATGAAGGCCGACCAGCAGAGCGACAGAGTGCTGGTTAATGCATTATTGCACCCGCGAGCACCACAGGTTTAAAGATTTCACATTACTGGTTACATCACAGACCACATATTTCTCTGTTGGTGATTTGACAAAGGTCTGTTTTTAAAATTTTACATTTCCCGCGCAGCTGGTCGGTTTCCGTTCTGCAGTCCATCACACAGCGTGCTGAGATGACCATTGTGTTGCTAAAGCGGTTCGCCCACAATAGCCTCACACAAGGCAAGTCTGTCTGTCTCTAACTGCAACTGGAATAGACAGAATAACTTCTCTGGGAATGTGATCACGATGAGAGTAAAGCTCTCTCTCCCAATGCATACAAGCCTTTTCATCTGTTCCAAAACCAGTAACCATAAAGAAGGTGATGATGATTTTATGGAAAAAGGATCCCATTACTGACAAAGACTGAACAGAGAGAGAAACCTTTCTCCCATGATTCATGGTGAACTAACAGTGCACTTGACTGACTTGACCTGACAGAGCCTCACTGACTGAAACGCCTCTCTATAGTCTGCCTGTACTCGGGGACGACAAAGACCTGAACTACGTTCTTACTTGACTTGACCGAAGGACGATCACATGACCTGTTCTGACACTACATCTCGCAAGCAAACCAGATGCCCGGTGCTTATTGTCATGCTGCTCGCTGCGTCTGTTGCTTTTATGTAATGCTGGATGTTTCTTTGTGTGCTGCTGCCGTGTTGATGATAAAATGTGACGCACGCCAACAGACTGACCCCATTTCCACTGGAAAAGAATGCTGCCTGCTCGTTCCTTGTTGTTTGACGTTATTGTTTAAATCCCTTTAAATTTAAAAACATGGTCCAGAGTCACGCGCTCTCCTCCACAGAGAAAAGGGGTTAACTGAATGCAAAACTAAGTCGCTCAGTGTTGGAGATGTAATGTGAGCAACAAGTCTGTGTGTGAGGTGTTTTATCAGACAGCCTCATTCAGAGAAGCTGTTTTACACACACAGAGCAGAATAACTTGCTATAACTTGTTTTTATTTACAGTGAAATGAGTGACGTCATCATATAATGGACTGAACTAACATCATGTGAATAAATTACTGTCTTGTTGTTTTTGACATTGTTGAAAGTTTTTCCCCTCTCCTACACAGGAGCAGCAGCCAGAGCCTAATATCCAACACTAACCGATTCTTCTTCTTCTTCCTTTTTAGTTTAGCCTTCCTAGAAAACATCAGATTGCTGCTGTTGTGAAACTGTAACTGTATCACTAATGAAATATTGTGGTGAAGCAAGACACTGGTTCATGAAAGGAATACAGGTTTCATTAGCAGCACATCCACCAACAGAAGAACCATGTGACCACCAGATGGAGGTTTTTAGCTAAACCCAAGCAAAGGCAAAATTTACTGTTGATGATAGTTGATATGTTTCCAAAATGGACAGAAGTTTTTCCAACTTCAAAACTAGACGGGTGCAACTGGAGCAAAAGCCCTGGTTTGCCATGCTGGGGTGTGCTTTCCAAAATCAACAGTGACGACAGAACAGCTTTTGGAAGTGAAGCCATGAAAACAACTTGGCTCTTACATGGGCAGTGATTTGAGACCACATTGTTCCCTCCACCCAGCAAGCGGTGGAGCAGTAGAGAAACAGAACAGAATGCTAAAGGTTAAGCTAGCTAAGTACTGTGAAGACACAGGTCTTCCATGAACAAAGCTGTTGTCGGTGGCGTTGATGAGAACCAGGATAAGAACCAGGTCAAGGTCTGAGCCCATTTATGATTCTTTTATGGCGCCCTCCACTAACAGGGACAGAGGCAGCCAGCAGAGTACCGCCTGACACACATCACTGTATTGCCAGACTTTGTCCTCTGCTCTTGCCCGTCTACATCAGCAGGTTAAAGAGGCCCCACCCTCTCACACAGTCTCCTGCCAGGAGATTCTGTGGTGTTTAAGGACTTCAGAAGAAAAGCACTGGAAGGCGCAGAGGTGGAAAGGTGCTCCTGACAACATACACAGTGGTAAAAGTGGCTGAAAGTGCTCCGTGGATTCCCGCCAGCCACTGCAGGAAGGTGCCTGCACCAGTACAACAACAGATCAACAAGCGTGCACAATCAGCACCTTGTGTTGTGAGTGAAGGAGGGATTGGGAACGCTTAGGCAGCCTTTGTCTCAGACTCACAGGCTGTTAGACAGCAAACATCAGCACAAGGGAGCCAGTGGGAAAACTCCTGGTCTCACCACTGCTGATTTAAGTGACGCCGTCAAAACTTAAGAGCGAGAAGCATGTTTGTCTCTGGAAGGAGACGTCATGGGACCCGGTCAGACACCCAGACATGTGTGGGCCTACGAGGAACAACACTGATGTTTGCTGCCATTGCAACAGCATGAACAGTGCCTCTGTTGCAGTTCTTAGATCACAAGCATGATGCACAAAAACCACCACAACAGAACACCACAGTGATACCAGCAGCCGTGTTAGAGGCAAGAGTAGCACCCGCAGAGGCCGGGCTGCTGGGCTAATGTTTAATAACTCCTGTTGTATGTTTGTGCCCAACAGTAGAGCTCCAGATGGTTCGGTGACCCGAGTGCTGGAAGGACTGCGTTCCCTACGAGAAGAACATGCAGAGAACTCTGAAGTGGGCACTAACATGTTTGACTGGTCTGATTCTGTGTTTGCTAAATAAAAGGCCGCAGTGATGCCCACGCTCTGCAGACTGTCTGACCCTTTGCAAAGAATAAAACCCTTAAAAGACGTCTGGATTGGACTCTTTATTTCAGAAGACTCGCTAAAGGACATACTTTCCATTTCAAAACATTTAAACAGTGTACACTGCACAGATGTAGCCATGAAAAAGGGTATATCATCATCATGTTTACCACCTAAACCAGTGGTCGGCAATAGGCAGCCCACGGACCAAAGCTGGCCCCGCCAGCGATAATATGTGGCCAAATTACGTTGATAGCTGCAACTAAATAAATAATTAATTACAGTGGCTGGTGCTGAAACAGATCTCAGTCAAGACAGCAAAAGTTACTCACATAATCGCTTCCTCTTAAGTGATTGTACCTGCAAAATAAAAGCACGAGAACATTTTCGCAGCAGTACTTTTTTCCACGTTTGAGAGATTTTACTTTGAAAGTTCTGAAGGAAATTCAAAAGAGTCTCTGACTTGTTTGACACGCCTCTGAAAAAGCCTTCAGAAAGCGTGAGATCGGATTCCCCTCAATGAGAAACGCAGGAATTTCCTCTGGCTGGAGAGACGGGGGACATGAAAATAAGCGTCCATAGGTTGATGTGGACCAATCGCCGGGATGTACGGACTCCTGCACATGCTTAAATTTGATATGTTATACAATCTCTACACCATCAATTTGTTGATAAAGGAAGACAATAATGCTAACAGTTTATGACAATTTTTCCAGACTTATTTGCAGACCCCTGAACTAAACAATGCGAGACAGCGTTAAAAGCAAACACAAGTCCACTTACCAGGTTTGGACAGAGCAGGAGTTTCCCGAGATGTGTATCCCACCACGCCCACCTCCTCACCGCCAACATTAAATATATTGTAAGGCAAGTAAGAGTTGCCAAATGTTGCGGCCAGAGTTTTGTCTGCCTTGATGTTAGCGCTGAGAACAACACACCCGATCTTCTCCATGAACGGCTTCATGAGTCCTTCCACTCCGTTGTCAAACTCATGATTTCCGAAAACCTGAAAAACACAAAGTAAAGATAAATTTAGAACAGCAGAATGACACAGACAGCTGAAAACTGTCTACAGGGGCCCCTCAGACAGGTTTAATTAAACAGTACCGTAGGCCTATGAGCCGGGGCCAGTTCAACCAAAGGGAATTTTCCACGGGACCTGGTTTACAAAACATGTGACATCTGAAATCAAGTGAGAGGGGAGTGGTTGCAGGAAGGTGACGGTGGAAATGTGACTCAGAGTTGGAGAGACGAGTTTGTTGTGGGGCCCCCAAAACTCCCTTTCCTGCCACATGAAAACAATAAGAGCTGAAGAAACCTGAAGAATTGGTAACAGACCAAAACCATCAAAAAGTGGTCTAAAGACCGGCCTCCACACCAAGACCGGTCTCAAGTACTACAACACTATTTGCAACAACTCGCCTCTCACGAGATTTCAGAGCGAGAACTGTCCTTCAGCGAGACTTCAGCTTCCTGTAAAATACAAAGGGGGTCACCGGGAGTCCTTCCCTGCCGGCTGAAGAATGTAGTCTTTTTGACCCCACATGTGTGAAAATAAGTCCCAGGTTTAAAATGACCTAAATGACCCTTTAAGGCACAACAACACAGAACATGTCAGTCATAGTTTAGTGAGCGTGTGGAGAGTTCCTCCAGTTCAGTTTGTTTGATCTCAATCAACAAACTAACCTCCTCTTACAGAAAACTGTGGCTCATTAAAGCAAGAATGTAAATTAAAACCAGCCACAGGAAACCAAACTAAATGTTTCAGAGAGAAGAAGTGGGATGTTGACATCTGACAACCATCAGATCCTTTGAGCATTAAAATGACTGAAGTCTGGTCTATTTCCTGACGCACCAACTAAATATGTTCCATCCACCACTTAAACAAGTCAGATGTTTTTGTTTAGTGTAAGTAAACGTCTAGAAACTCATACAGGCAGTGATAGTTTCTACACATCGAGGTCACATTTAACTGCTGTTTCTACACCTAAATGACTATTATCATGGCCCTGCGATGGACTGGCGACCTGTCCAGAGTGTACCCCGCCTTTCGTCCAATGTCAGCTGGGATTGGCTCCAGCCCCCCCCTGTACGCAGGATAAGCGGTTGACAATGGATGGATGGATGGATGGATGACTATTTTCATGTTAAGCAGCTTCTAACTATACATCGAAATATAGCCAATAAAAATGGATAACCCAGTTTTAACAGAAATGTCTTTTGACCACCAAATACACCAATACCTTTGCTTAATGCCGACAATCACCTCAGGGAAGCAGAAGTGTGGCGGCAGAGCGCGCTGCCTCCAAATGGACAAAACACGAGAGTTGAACTCTCTTGGCCACCGTACAGGAGCCCCTCCACCGAGATTTGAAATGAGTGAAAACTAATTTCTCTAATTCTGGTGCAAAGATTAAAGGGCGCAGAGAGCTCATCCATTAAAATGTCTCTCCGCAATTGCTGCTTTTAAGCTAATTAAACCAAGTAAGGCTGTTAGACCTAAACCAATGAAGCAGCTTCAGCCTTTTCCAGTCCGGTCTGATCATAATGGGACTGTTCTATTGTTACATCGGTGGACACAAACACAGTATTCTCTATATTTGTGAACCTTAATGGCAGAAAATCAACAGTAATCCTTTGACCAGGATTATAATTGATCCACTAATGGAGATATACATTAAAAGCAGGGTCACAATTATCACCAACAAACTACAGACTCCTGTTTTTATATTGTAAAAATACAACAGTATTATACAGTAATAAATACAAAAACACAGGTACATACAGTAGTACAGCACTTTCTGACAGCTACAGTTACTTTGAAAATTAAGATTTTACATGCAGAACGTGGGATTATTTTATGATCCAATATGATTTTAATAGAATAAACTACCAAACAGTACATAAAGCCAGCTAACCATCATCATCATTTTGATGAGTATGTAAGTTTCCATCCATTCATCTATTATCAGAATTATCTATTGCGCAAAGTCACTTTAAAGTTGAGCTCACATTCATTTTAATTCCTGACAGATCAGCAGACAGAAATGCTTCTATCTTCTGGCTTCAAATGAAATATAAGCTGCGCAGACTGGAGTTTTTAAGCTTGTCTGTGTTTCTCACCATGGCATCATAACCCAGCTTGTTCATAAAATGGGCAGCCTCGGCGCCCTTGTAGTAATTGAACCAGACGGTCCCCTGGAACTGGTCTCCGGCGTCCAGGAGGAGCACGTTGCTGATGGAGTTTCGGATCCTCTGTATCATCGTGGCTCTCCGGGCGACCCCGGCGAAACACCCGCCGCCGCCGCCGCCGCCGCATTTCCCGGAGTGCTCGCTGGTCTCCTCCACCCGGGCGTGTACGTCGTTAGTGTGGAGGAGAACCAGGTCCCAGGCCGCCGAGCTGGACACAGAGAAGCCCAGCAGGAGGAGGAAGCCGAGGCAGAGCCGCTGCAGAGAGCCAAGCTCCGGGCGCAGCGCTCCCATCTCTGCGCGCTCCGCTGCGCGCAAAAACACTGGAGGAGGAACACAGGTGGGAAGCCTGGTTGGTTCTTCTTACATGACGCGCATTAAACGTTTCTCTCTGCTTTTTATGGTCTCTAAGTCACTTAATAAATTAAAGGAGACCCAGCTGACACTACAGAGAGAGAGAGAGAGAGAGAGAGAGAGAGAGGCATGCGGCGGCTCAGAATGAAGAGGAGGAGGATTTGGGTTGTGATCCGCCTCTTCTCTGACCACCACCTTTGACTTTTTGACACAATTACTAACTACACTAAACCACACGCTGGAGGGAGGCGCTGTCCTCAGTAAGTTTATTTAGCACCTTTAACAATAAGGTAGCCTAATTCAAGGATCTTTGAATAAGACATTTTAAGGAAAAATACGACATCTGAAGGATTCAAAACTTTAAATATCCTCACACGACTCTAATCTGTTGATTCTTTCTCCCAAAATTTATGATGCTCTAAATTGCTCCATTATAACATATTAATTCTAATAAAACTACAGATTAACTACAGTGTGTCTGCAGGGTGGAGACAACAAGCTGAACACCACCTGCAGACAAAGACTGAATAAAGGAAGTGGGGTAAAATCTTCTGAAAGACTGGAGGTGTTTTTGGCTGTTATCACTGTAAAAATAGCAAATAGCATCTCTTCATGATGTTATAAATATGCTGTTGTCCTATTTAAATGCACTCTTGTTTATTTTACAGCAGTGCTCTGATATGTTCAGACCTGAACAGTAGGGATTAGACAAAGAGCAGCAGCCCTGTTTATGCTCCGCTCTTACTTTCATGCCAATAAAGTTGACAAAGGCAGAGAGGGATTAGCTGCTGGTTTACATTCACTTCAATGGGAAAATCTGTTTATAGAGACTTGACATTGCTTTGGTTGAGGAAGTCCATCACAGCCGACATAATATCTGCTTTTAATTTAAAGAACAAAAATACTTTGCACACCCAAACCAGCCAGAATGCTCTTTCATTTCTAATTTTTTAAGTTTCGATGTTCAGACCAGGACGTCTTCAGGATCTGAACATGCAGGTTTTTTAAGATCTGGATATACTGGCTTTTTAACAGTGCGTTGGCGTAGACAGGTGTCTGCGACGCACAATGGCGCCGCCGGGGGTGCCACCCCAGTTCTAATAAGTCACACTGCTACACAGTTGTGTATTGTACAGTGTGTGAGAGCCAGGGCTGTTAAATAAGAGAGTCACGACACTCTTTGATCTCGCCGCTATGTGGTCACGTGGTTCATGTAACGCTCCATGGTTCCAAACAACTCAGCGCTGTCAACCAGTTTGAATGGGTTTAGGCGGGACAGACACCAACAGCAGCTATATTTACATCAATTATCGGTAAATTTTAACAAAATATGACACTGATTACTGAGCTGACACTTACATTACATACATATAATAACATTTGTTCTGGAGAGTGGCGGAAACACAGATTTCATCAGTTTTTGTGTTTAAATTTGGAAGGAAAAGGGGCTGTTCCCATAACGTAACATTACACATTTACAGCAGCGACTTCATTTGCAGCAATTTTCGGGCTGCTCCCATAAGGTATAACACATTACAGTATGGAGATGTTTTTTCTCATGCTTCTATTGTCATAATTACTGACATTATCAAGTAAATATCAATGAATGCCAGAAGCTGTTTAGTTTAAGTCAAGAAAGAAGTTTTGGTAAACAGTGCAAAATACACAAGGCAACTAATTGCATTCAGCAATATATTTTATTATATTTTATATCCAGGTAGGTAAGTTTTCCTTGAATGTGATGTCTTCAAAGAAACACTTTTTTAATTTTCACATCCTGCAAAGACCAGACAGGAGGCTATATTTCATGCCAGATGTCCCACAGTGTGTCCTGGTTGGCGGACAGACATTTCTGCAAGCTCCATCAGCCTGGTCGTCGCTCCACTCTCCGTCCTCCTGAAAATAAACAAAACTTTACATTTGAGGTCAATATTGGCAAACCGACATCTTGGTATGGTAACGTTAGCTGGTTAAGTGTTAACGTTAGCTGCAATTATATAATCTAACGGTTAATATCTTCCGATAAACCTTGACTAAAGCTGGCTACATAAAATAGCACTATTGACTAGATTCATGAGAGGACAGCTAATGAGTTAAAATGTCAACAAATGCAGTAATTTCATCAACTTACCAGGCAGCGTACTTCAGAAACACTGAAATGAACAGGGCTCAGCGCTGGAACTGTTCAGTGTTTGGAACCATCGGCTGCCCCGTGACGTGTTACTTCCTCATTCCACAGTTCCAACAGAAGTCAATGGGAGTGTCGTAACTCTCTTATTTAACGGCCCTGGTGAGAGCTGGTAGTCTGCAGATATGAATCATCCATCTGTCATTTGCATTCATCCATCTGTGACACTGTCCTTCACTGTGTCCCTGAGCAAGACACTTAACCCCTCGTTGCTCCAGAGGCATGCGACCTCTGACATAAATAGCAATTGTAAGTTGTAAGCTTTGGATAAAAGTAAATGTAGATAAACACCTGCTGTATGTACATAAAGTAACTTATTTCAATGATGTGTAAATTTGGCTGATTTAGATTTAACGCTAAAATGAAAGCAGTCATAATATTTACTGTGTTGGACCGGGTAACTTTGATTAACCCCCGAAGGCTGCCAGGAGAAAAGGAAACATGAAAAAAAAAAAGGAAAAGTGATGACCATCCTTCTTAAACTTTTGCAATAACTTGGCCTGAACAGAGTGGTGCATGTTTGGTCTGTATCGTGACTCAGCTCCGCTCAGACAACTTTTTTCATATCAAAACAAGTTTCTTTAACACATCTGTGTATCGCAATACACTTCAGACATCTAAGTCATAGAGAGGAAGTGAAGCTTTCACAGTCTGCTGCAGCACAGTCAGACAGGATAGCAGCATCTGAGAGTTGTAATCTCAGCGTAGTCGAGCCCCAACAGTTGACTATTAACAGGCTGGTTATTTACAAACAACTACTTAGCCTAAAGATAATCAGATAAGCAATATCTGTGTTGGGTCACGAATCCACTTGGACAGGGGTAGACTAGGGGCATGGCAGCTGACCGATCAACCTTAACTTATTAATGGATCGCAAAACGTTCAGGTTCGGGCAGGGTCTCAAACGTTCAGGTTCGGGCAGGGTCTCAAACGTTCAGGTTCGGGCAGGGTCTCAAACGTTCAGGTTCGGGCAGGGTCTCAAACGTTCAGGTTCGGGCAGGGTCTCAAACGTTCAGGTTCGGGCAGGGTCTCAAACGTTCAGGTTCGGGCAGGGTCTCAAACGTTCAGGTTCGGGCAGGGTCTCAAACGTTCAGGTTCGGGGCAGGGTCTCAAACGTTCAGGTTCGGGGCAGGGTCTCAAACGTTCAGGTTCGGGGCAGGGTCTCAAACGTCCAGGTTCGGGCAGGGTCTCAAACGTCCAGGTTCGGGCAGGGTCTCAAACGTCCAGGTTCGGGCAGGGTCTCAAACGTCCAGGTTCGGGCAGGGTCTAAATGGCTCAGGTTCAGGCAGGGTCTCAAACATTCAGGTTCGGGCAGGGTCTGAAACGTTCAGGTTCAGGCAAGATTTAAACGCCCAGGTTCAGGCAAGGTCTCAAACACCCAGGGTTAGTTAAGATCTCAAACGTCCAGGGTTTAGTTAAGATCTCAAACGTCCAGGGTTTAGTTAAGATCTCAAACGCTCAGGTTCAGACAAGGTCTCAAACGCCCAGGGTTTAGTTAAGATCTCAAACGCTCAGGTTCAGGGAAGGCTGCAAAAGCACTATTAGACACGTCTATAAAACAAAGCTTTGGTTAACACGACATGAATGCATACGTACAAACTGAAATACAAATTTGCATTTGCATTTTATAGCATCTTTGATTTTTTTATCCTTAATAAAGACAGGGCCATGACACTTTATGAACCTGCATGTGCCGGTCTAATGTTGTGCTAGCAGCAAGTAGCTCTGTGAGACTGTATTTCTGTGCAGTGGTGCTTCGAGCTAAATGCTGACATACGGGTGTTTACCATGTTCAACAGCTTAGTTTAGATTGTATTGCATGCTATTTAATAACAGCTGAGGATGTCATTTCTTTGGCAGGAATTAGGTAATAAGCCAATTAATTATTGTTAATTTTGGACTAAAGGTTGGCATTAAAGAAAAAGTCAGATAATCACCGAAGTTGTTATGATTTATCCTGAGGGGAACATGAGTGTCTGAACAATTTCATGACAAATTCCATCCAACAGCTGTCTAGACATTCCACTAAACACACACAAATGTCAACCTGCTACCGGCGCTGGAGGAAAAGTCAGTGGGCTTCGTCCTCTGGGGAACACAGATGTCAAGGTAATCATCTAATAATTTCAGTCTGGACCAAAGAGGTCCAAATGACCAAAGGTTGAAGAAAGAATCCTGCTGCTTCTGAGTAACATCCATCCCAGACATTTTCAATGGAAACCCTCTGCTTACACAGGAAATAACAGGCAGATTATGAAACCGTGCGTATAGGAAAATGTAAACGCACTATGGGGAATTATATAACTAACTGATGCTGAACTTTAACTCAAATTCATACACATATCTATGGCAGGACATAATATAACACAGGTTTAACCACACAGAGCGACACCCGACTGAACGTCATGATGGACACAGACTGCAGACCCCTCTCGAGGTTTCAAGCTTCAAAACTAACGTGTCAAAACTGGGCCACTGTAATGAGCCCTGCCAAGTCTGATCCAGTAATGTCGTGTTTATTTATGTAGCTTGCAGTTTGTTCCCAGAGGGCTTTACTGTGTTTACATCTCCACCCTCAGAGCCTTAATTTAGGAAAGAAAATGAGAGCGAGCTGAACAGCAAAAGGTTCTCTTCTAGGACACACAGTACTACACCTGTTCTGACTGACAAACCACAACCTTGTCTGAAAATAATACACAGCCTCCAGCCACACAGGATCCACTATGCTCCATAGCACTGGTAAAATATCCTACCTCATACATGGCAGGTGGAATCTATCACAAACCACAGAACAAATCTTAAGTTAAGACCAAGATCGTCATTGTTAGTTTTGGAAATCTGTCTCGCCCTGCGTTTCCCTGTCACTGTGGCAATATATCACATCACACCCACTGTTTGTGTACAGACTCACCTTTAATGTTTGCTATGGTAGTAAACATTATCCTTGAGGAGGTTCTCTGTCTGTGATAACATCCAAAGGTCAGGCTATTAACATTTGCTAACCTTGAACTTGTTTCTCTAAGGAAAGGCTCCTTATCACGTAGTGTGCACGCCAGCCCAGAGTGAAAGCCCAGAGTGAAAATAAGACTTTTAAAAGGTCCAGTGTTTACTATTTCTGTGGATCTATTGACAGAAATGCATTATAAGATCCACGGTGTTCTTGTATAATTCTGGCAGTGTAGACGCTCGTCACTACTTTGAATGTATACTAAGAAGAAGAAGAGGAAATAATAATAACACAGTCTCTGAGTAGTCGTCTGTTTTTTTATAAGTAAGAAGAGAAGTGAAATTTGGACAAATGGAGGACTACACCTATTATTTAGCACGAGCCGACAGCGTGTGGACCTTCGTCGTCAAAGAAGTGAAAACATGATGAATTCAGACACGGGGGAACAGATGCAGACAGATGAATAAATAATAATTTGTTGTGGACACAGATGGACAGAGCTGTTGCAGGACAAATGTTTTCAAAGCGGCGCTCGCTGGACAGGTAATTAAGTTGGTGCAATGTTAACGATGGAAATGAAAGGTGAAAGATCAGCCAGCTAAACTTCACATTTTACTGCCCTGGTAGAAAAACTATGTAGTTGGATCGTAGTGTCATGTAACGTTAGTTATTCTCCAGGGATTTGGATTTGCGTGCACATAAATGTGTCGTTAATGTTCGTGAGACAATTAATTTGCAATAAAACCGTAACTTGCATCTGGAAGCTCAGATAAGCCAGCTAAACTTTTACTGCCCTAGAAATTGTAATTTTTAACTGTCTCTTGGGTTTTGCAACGTGGGCATAAATGTGTCGGTTAGTTCCTGAGACAATAAGGTGATTATTATTGGAAATGAAACGGCATGAAAGTTCAGATCAGCCAGCTAAACTTAACATTTTACTGCCCTGGTGGAAAATACTTTACTGCTAGCAGTGTTATGATAAGAAAGGCAGTGGGGAGAGGAGCCTTGATCCTCACCTGCCTCTGTAATCTTCGTGTATTATGTGGTTTATAATGGGCTGTGGTGCAGAAACACAGAGGCCTAAATTGTCCTGGTATCTGTCAGAGGTCCTACTTGATGCACTAGATGTGATAGTTTTTCTGAGATGTTTCTGAGATGGTTTTTGCTTCAGTATGTTAGTCCAGGCCAACCCTCCCAAGATGTAAGACAATTCATGATAACAGTAAAGTAAAATAATGTATTACAGGAGTATGAGACATCATGTAGCAATTCATTTATTCATGTTGCTCTTGTATGATGAACAATCAACAATAATATTCGCAAAATCATACAGTTTTAATTATATATTAAGTAAAATATAATTAATTCTTGACTGGCTACTCTCTTTTGTCCTGTGTCAGCCACTGTAGCTATCTTAAGGCTCGTGCAGACTACACGACTTTCAGCGTCGGCTAATGGTTCAGACTTACACAACTTGCCGTCTTGAAGTCGTTGTGGCATTCACACTACGTGACTCATCGGTGACAGGAGGTCACACACTACACGAGTCACCCGACGCTGGTCTCCAAAACACGTTTTGCAAGAACACACAGATGAAATGTGTTTTGCTTAGGGGCAGTTTTGTTTGTTATCAGACTGTGAAATAAACTCACTGACTTCCTCCTTTGCTCACTCAGGAGGAAACGCAGACACCACAAAAGTAGTTTTTTAAAATTCTTGGCTGCTCATATGTACCATTTAAAACGCAATGAGTGATTTATGTTTTCCTTGTTATTCTTGGCTGCAGTATTATTAGTACGTTTTTGGTTTCTGAGGGAGGCCGAGTTTGTTTAACTGCCTGCAGGCTTGAGTTCAGGATACTGGTGAAAACTGAGGGGGAGTTTCACTCATAGCCTTGTTAGTGGAACATAAAGTCAACACTTTCATTAGGCCAGTGCGCGGAAAGGATTTTCATTTCTTTGAGACAATGTAGAGTTTTGTTCCACGTTATCGGTGTATTAGCAAAACAAATCTTTGGTAGTAACTTTAGTTCAAATTTATTCAAATTAACTCAAAGCAGAAACTAGAATCTAAAATTTCCCAGAGCTCAAAGATATTCAGTTTACTGTCAGAGAAGTTAAAGAAAAGCAGCAGGTATTCACAACATTTTGCAAAGTTTTGCTTTAAAAAACAAAACTTAAAACAATTAATTAAACATCAAAACTGTTACTGATTATTTTTTGAAGATCAACGAATCGATTAATCCACCGGTCGTTTACAGCTCTACAGGAAAATATTAAACTTTTCATGTCGTTCATTTTCAAATATGAGCAGTTTCATAATAATACGTCTTTATTTAAGAAGGGACGATGCACATTAACTAACATTAGCACTCGAGTCCATCATGAAAATGTGTTATTTGCAGCCAAACAGGTTAATTATATATGCACATTTATCACTTTTATTTATTTGGCACCAATTTATAACAGAAGTTATCGCAATTTTTATATAGAAAAGGTCTAGACTGAACTCTTTGTAATGTTTGTACATAGTGTTGTAGTCAAGACCAAGAGTTTTAGGGGCTGAGACCAAGTCAAGACCAAGAGTTTTAGGGGCTGAGACCAAGTCAAGACCAAGAGTTTTAGGGGCTGAGACCAAGTCAAGACCAAGAGTTTTAGGGGCTGAGACCAAGTCAAGACCAAGAGTTTTAGGGGCTGAGACCAAGTCAAGACCAAGAGTTTTAGGGGCTGAGACCAAGTCAAGACCAAGACCGAGTGAGGGCGAGACAGAGTCAAGACCAAGACCAGTTCCCCACATTACACACAATAAAATGTGGGACAAGGTCACAGGTACTTCTCAAATTGATCTAAAAGATCCACATTCCCATTAAAACACCAACATACAAGCACTAAAAGCTGAAATCAACGTAAGTACCGAGACGAGACCAAGACCATCAAAAAGAGACTCAGACCTCACGCTGCCCATTTCGTCCTGCTTCTAACACATCAACTATGACGACACAATGTTCACCTGCTGCCTGATATTTCCCACCCACTGACAGGATAACGAGAAAATCAGCGTTCAACACATCATGACTGATGCAATAAACACCAGAGACAGATTCGTCCGCCCACTTTTACGACGCTGATGAAAAGCCAGCTGATAACATGCATCAGTTTCTCCGTAAAGACGCTCACGTCATCGACCGGGCACCATTAATCTGTCTTACACTGGTGGGAGGACAAAAAAAACAAAAAACAAATCAACATACAGCACAGGATGTGATAGGATTTCATATGCATGTAAGTAAAGTAAGTGTCTAAGGATTCTGCACTCAAACTGAACACAACAGTGTTGTCTTACCTGGTCAGATTAGAAGATGATTGACAGCAGCTTCATCTCTGCGTCCAGTACAAAGCTTTTATTTTGAAGATTATGTTTGGATGTGTGTAGTACAAAAATATATATTTAGAGTTATATTGATGTTCAGATCATAGTTTTTTTCCCTCCAACTGAACAATATTCACTGCTGCAGCATTCCCATATGCAACTTTATACTTCGACTCCAGTATCTCCCAGTGTTTTAAGCTCATCGTTAAAGGTTAGAGGTGCCTCAGTGGCCGTTTGGTTTTGGTTTTATTTATTTTGAGAACAAAAAGCCATTACACATTTTATTCATTTTTTGTTTTTAATCCTGTTTTTGTGAAGCACTTAGTGCTGCATCTCTGCTACATAAATAAAGTCATTATGAACGAGATCATCACATTAAAGTAGTGACCAGTACAGAGATACCCGTAGGTCTGGGAAGTTTTGAAATGAGCTTAACACAAACACCAAAGAAACTGCTGGCCGTGAAAATGTAAGGAAACATTTTGAGTAAACGCATTTGACATATATAATTAAGACAAATGATTGTTTCCTCAGCATTGTTAACAAACCACTGAAAAATAAACTTCTGCAGCTGTTAGAATGGCTTTAATGTGGCAGTAGTGGCGCCTACAGAATCAGAAGCAGCGTTATTGCCAAGTCGTGTTTTTACACATATGAGGAATTTGCTTTGGTGAGAAGGTGCTACACGTAGACAAACATACAGTTATATAATAAATGTAGAAATATATAAATATGGAATAAACAATGCAAGTTATATAAGAATAATAAAAAGAAGAGAGAAAAATAATCCAACTATTTGCAGAGAAAGAACCACGTGGAAGATATTTACAGTTGCATTATTCCGGGTTTGTGTTGTGCAGACAGATTCATCAGCTTCAGGGGAGATTTAGCAGCATTTGGATGCTGATTAAAATTTGAATCATGTGAGGCAGTTTTTGCAGAGCGTGTTGTCTCAGTAGAGGGCAGCAGATGGCAAGAAATGAGGAGAGCAAGCCTCAGAAAAGTGAAAGAACTCTATATGTACTATTAAGGAAATTAACACACTTTTCTTGGCAGCTTTAAATATAAAGTTCCCTCTGATTGGAACAACCTCCTCAGTAACATTAGATCAATAAATTATTCCTTTTTAAAGGTCCAGTGTGTAATATTTCTGAGGATCTATCGACAGAAATGGATCCATAACTATGTTTGGAGGTGAAGCTAATTTGTTTTTTTATGTGTGCATAGTGCGTACTATGTCTGAATATAAAAACCCAACATGTCTCAGCAGCATTGCTCTTGTGTCCATGAGCATTCGCTGCACCTTAGAATAGCTTAAAACTGCAGTGTTTTCCCAGCTGAATGTGAGCTTTAGATTTATGTTTTGTTGGTGGTCATGGTGGTCGTGGTCAGAGGGGTTTGGGACTTTGGGACTTTGGGTCCCAAACCCCCCCACCTGTAGACATTAATGTAAAATAAAAAGAGAAACCTCCTCCCTTCTGAGGTGCATATTTGCACATTAAAATCCAAAAAGAAACGTCTCCTCATTAGCTTAAAAGGACTAGTGTGCGTCACTAATTTGTTTGTTTTACTAACCGTCCTTTCTTTTCCTAACAACCGCATTTTCTATTTGCTGTAGGCTGCACCAGTTTAGTCTAAGTTTGTACCTGATGTTCTCAACATTGGACAAGTAGGTAGTAATAAAATACAGCTACTTTCTATAAATTGAGCTAATGTTAAGTTGCATAGCAGCTAAAGACGCAGCCTACTAGCTTTCCTGCGCAGTCTGAAGGGGAGGGAAGATGTTAGCTAGCGCAAATAGACTATTCTTGGTCTTGAGAAGCTGACACCGTAACCGACACCGTACGTTTACTGCCAGAATATTTTCTCGTTGGTCTCATT